GCTAATTATCTATGTAGGGTTATAATTACGGATGGGCCCTGTTTGATCCCTTCTCCCACCCACTGAATGTACTGTACAATAAGAAAGGGCTTGGGGCCCTTTTAGACATTTTAATTATTTCTAAAGTAGAAAAGAAAAATGATTTCAATTATCTTTTTAAAATTATTTATTTAAAACAAATATTTAAATTCAAATGTAAAAGTTTAATTATTTTAAAGAGAGAAAAGGGCCCAAATGTGCCTTTGGCCCCTATGCCTTGCTTTCGCTAGATTTAAGGCAGCTACGCCACTAGACTGTACAGAATTGTTGCATGTTTTTTATTTGTCGTTAGAGGCTATACCGAAAACCAGTGGCGCATCCAGGTTTTCTGATCAAGGGGAGCGGTGAGTGCAAAAATGCATCTCTCTATAGCTTTATAAATGAAAATAAAGAAATAAAAATTGATTAATTAATTCATTAAATATTTAAAAAACAAAAATAAAAATAAAATAAATAAATAAAAAGAGAATTAAAAAGAGAAAAATAGATAAATGCATAACTAAGTAAAAACATAAATAAATTGACCAATAAATAAATAAATAAATAAATAGATAAAAAATTAAAAACAATAAAAATAAAGCGGGAGGGATCTCCCATAAACTTATATTGTTTATTTATATTGCTATATAACATTACTTTATATTGCTATATAACATTACTTTTAATCAGCTTTTACAAACTTTAACGTTTTTCAAAATGGAATAGAATCTCGTAGAAAAAACAATTGGCACCAAGTGAATAATATAATTGTGTACAATAGTGCAAAATACTAGTACTTTATAAATTCATATGCTTTTTTTTGAGAAATTAGAAATAGCATAAATTACTACTTACCGTCAACAAAAATTACTCAAAATTTGACAGAAAGCAGAGAATTAGATATTTTACTTATATGTTCGTATATCTATGTGAGACAGTACTCATATTATAGGCTTTTGAAAAACCAAAAGTAGAATAAGTTCCACTTCCAGTTACTGAAAATCACTGAAAGGTTGATACAGAACTACAAAATTGATATAATACATATGAAATTTCAGCAACCTAGCTGTACCGAAGTTATCGTATTCACAAACATACACACAAACACAGACATACGGACGTAAACTATGTATTTCCGACTGAGGTAGGTGTAAGCGTCGAGATTTGTGACAACATCAATTTCGAATTTTTGCACGATTACAATACTTTCTCTATACTTCGTATACAAAAAAGTAAAAAAATAACAAATAAAAAAATATAACAAAAAAAGAGAACAATAACGCAAAAAATAATAATAATGAAGACTCAAACATAAGCACAAACTTAAACGCAAACGGAAACTTAAACGCAAAGATAAAAACAAACAACACAAATACAACTATAAACGAAAACATAAATACAAACGTAGCCTATAATTAAACGCAAAGAAAAACATAAACGCAAACCTAAACGCAAGCACAAACAATAGAGCAGAAAACAATGCAAACATAAACGGGAACATAAACGCAAATAATAACGCTAACCGAAAGATGTACTTAAACCTAGAGGTTAAAAATCATCATTAATAAACAGTACATTCAGCTTATAAAATAAATTAAAGGTATAATTAAAATATAACATTGATTTACTTATAACAATTTGTACGTCATCTATTCAGGCAAGTAATTGTTACAAAGGGGTGTGATTTGAAACTTTCCTCAGACAAAATAAAAAAATATGTGAAGGGTAATACATTTAGTATGATTTTGTTCTTTGCTTATTAGCTCAATAAAATACTTAGTTGTAAAATAAAATATTTAAAAACTATCTATAGTGAATTTTCTAAACATCAATTTTGATTTTAGTACAAAAATTAAAACTTAAAAAATATTACACAATTGCGATCAAGTAGAATTTTTTACTATACGCATGTCATCCACAAACATATCCGTCCGCCACATACAAATAAACCGACTCTATTTTAACTTCATAGATTAGATGTGCCTCAGACATGTAATTATGGTAGCGTATCTTAGTCCCAAATTTTTCCACTGGTGCATTACTATGCTCATCATTAGACATACGAGGACTGTTGTAGATTTAAATTGATAGCTATTTCTTTCACTCTAAAGATGGGTACATATTATACATGATTTTTGCAGAGTATGAGTTCCATTTTTGAACATTAAGATTAATAAGTCAGAAGAGGAGTGAGTCGAGTATGAGTACCTGTAAAAGAGATGGGGGAACCGAAAAATCAGTGGACCATCTTAATCTATAAAAAGGTGTTAGTTTGACTATAGTGGTGTGGATACAATTTTAACTTATTTCGGAACATGTACATGATACTGTCTGGAATCCACGGGGTAGGAGGAGGAGAGGCGGACCAAGAAAGACCTGGAGACGTGACCTGGAAGAAGAAATTAAGAAGATTGGATACACCTAGGGACAGTTGGAGAGACTAGCCCAGGACAGAGACGCCTTGAAAGCTCTTGTCAGCGGCCTATGTCCCTGGAGGGACGACAGGCTCAACTAACCTAACTTAACGTGATACTGGGTGACTTCTTTTCTTTAATGTATACCTTTCTGAACAAAATTACTATACTACTTATATTGCCTCGTTACCAAAGATTTTCCTTGCAAAATTAAAAGAAGTTTTTTTTTTTTTGCAGAAAAAACTCTTTTAGTGTTCTAATCAACTCCTCAGAGTTTCACGACGACCGGATTAAAGGTGTCACACCGCAATCGACTTTTAGTTTTTATATACGGTATATTTAATTATTTTTTTTGCATATACCTCTCCAGGAGTATTCTCAATAACTTACCAAAGTTTCATGGAGATTGGATGAAAGATGTAGTAATGCATAGAAGACAAACAGACAGACAAACACACATACAGACATATATGCTTATATATATATATATATATATATATATATATATATATATATATATATATATATATATATATATATATATATATATATATATATATATATATATATATATATATATATATATATATATATATATATATATATATATATATATATATATATATTTGCATTTAAACACAATCCTTTTTTAAAAAGTACTGGGCATTTAAAGTAAACCGACATTTTGCATTTTATTTTTAAACTTTGCTTCATTAAAGCGGTTAAAAATACTTTCTTTCCCACATTGTCGGATTTTTCAACTTAACTGAATCAACTGTTGTGTTATGGGAATGTTCTAGAAAAAAAATTAAGTGTAACAACAGGTTAAAAGATTAGATTGAATGTAAAATTCACACTTAAACTCGTGTAAAATCAAGTGCGATTAACATCTGCAGATAGATAAAAGTTAGCAAAGCCACAATAAATAAAATTATTTTAAGGTCACTTGGCTGAACAATATAAAGTTAAAACTGTTCTAAAAACGGTCGATATATAGGTTATATAAAAACAGTTATCGACTACCCGCTATACCGCTGCGTGAGATAGTATATCGATCCCCAGAAGTAATTTAAACAAGTCTTGTTTTTCGCGAATATTCCTAAAGGCATTAATATATACCAGAGAAAATATTTCTTTATACAAACACAGTGTGAAACTCTACAATGTATATTTCGAGGACAGAAATAAGAAAAGCACAAAAACAACTGTTTTTTTTTTGTAATACTCATGAAAGTAATTTTTAACTATTGAGATTCTAAAAAAAAAAGGGATTGAATGGGAAATAATACACCGCATCTCATCCGGCACGACACGATACAACACATCCCACTACAACAAATACTATAAATAAAAACATACCCTTGTAATCCCAATCACTCATCCAACATTCGACACAGAATTCACCTTACAACACACCACACCACACACAACATACAAAGAAGGTCAAAACTAACATCGCCTTGCTCCACATCAAAAAGCATTCCAGTTTATACCACGCAACGTCATAAAGCATACACCAAACACAACACAACCTCGATCCACACGCCTCAAACATTATCCAACAACCTGAACATAACACCATACACCCTTCTCGCAATCAGCTTAACATCCACAGAACATAAAACACACATTATACGCGTACTCCTTGACCCACATCACACTAGCCTACATAGCTCAACCCACACTTTATCCACTTATAACACGACCCACACCCAATCACCTCTTCCAGATCACACACACCATTTCCAATACACCACAGCATCTTCACACTTGCACTACACAATACATTGCAGTGATTAACGCATTAAAATAAATTTGTATAAAACATTTTGGAAACTAAGAACATTGTTTTCTAAACAATTGCATATTTTGCAGTTCTACACATAGTGCAGATGCTCTGAACAAACAGAACCAATAAACACCATTAAAACAAAACACCAGTAAATATACAAGCACGTGAACAGTAGTGAAGTTTAGTAGAATACCGATTAAAAACACCTAACGTGAGTAGGCTAAACGTCAAACCAGAGGCGTAGCGAGGGCTGGGCGGGGGTGCGGACCGCACCGGGTGATACCATTTGGGGAGGCGACACCAATGCAAATAAAATAGTAAAATGTAAAGGAGAAAAAATTATTTTTTTCCAGTTCCATTAATGATTACTTAAAGTTAAAAAGTCTTTCAAGTACAGATTGACAATTATTACAAGAGGGTGGAGGTGGCACCATGACGTAAACGTGCTAACTATAAAGAAAACAATGCTACATCAAACTGTATTATTAACAGACTTTAGATAAACATCGTTACTATTAAGTCCGCAGCGAATAAAGCTTTTACACATACAAGTACGCGTATGTGGCATATATGTAAATTATAGGCCAACACATAGACACACACACACAAACATATATATAGTATTTCTTGGGGGTGGGGGTGACACCACGAAGTGCCGCACCTTGTGACACCCGACCTAGCGACGCCACTGCGTCTAACCAAACACATATCATGATATTTTTTAAAGTGGATCTTTGATTGTTAAAACAAGTGTACTGACGATACCTTGGGAAAATACTTTTTAAAAAATCTGAGATTGCAAGTTTGTGTCACGAGTGCATGTCCTGACCCACGGGCTATAAAAGCAGGACCAGAGATCTATCGTTACCACGCGGTTCCAGAACATCATGAGGACCCTCGCTCTACTGACTATAGCCATCTTTGGCTGGTAAGTTTAATTAAGCAATTTTTAAGAGATTTGATTTTGTTATTGCTATTATGTAACATTTTATTTGTTATTGATTTGTGTACATGTATGCTGTGTATACGTCTGTGTGTGTAGGAGGTCTTTACTTTTACGTCGTTTCCTGTGACCAATCTGTGCTAAATTGTATGTGTTTTATGTGCAAAATGTGTGTGTAAATTGGATGTGTTCTTAATGGTTATGTTCTTACATTTTATTTTCTTAACTTATTCATTTTGGTTTACGTTAATTATATTAGTTAATGTACATGTTTATGAAAAAAAGAAGAAATTTTTAGAATACTCCTACATTAGCCATACAATTGATGCAATTACAGCGTCGTTGCCCAGCCTGGCGGCGGAACCAACTACGACAACCTTTTTCAGAGATACGCCGGAAGTGATAACCTTTTGCAAAGGTCTGAGTTTGACAGGTTCTGGCTTCACTTTGATGACAATGGTAAGATACTTAAAGTCGGATGAACTATCTTTGTATCGTCTTGTTTGGCATTCGAAAACAGTTGATCATTTGGTCACTAGGCTGCGGAATAGTTTGTCGTTTGATAATTTGGTCAATAGAAAAGGGAATAAATAGTCTTAGGGTCAGAGGGCGAGGGAATAAATGGTCATAGGGTCAGGGGGCGAGGGAATAGTTAGCCATTGGTTAGAGCTGGTAGAGCAGAATTAAGGATTGTGGTATACTAAAATAAACCGGGAGTGATCTCCCCTAAACTTTCTCGAATATTCTAATATAACACTACGGGGGTATGGCAACTCGGGACATAGACAATATTTTAAATCCATTTTTAAATACTTAAACTTTTTATAATAGAATAGAATCTCGTAGAAAAAAGAATTGCACACCAGTGAACGCTAAATAAAATTTGCATAATAGTGCGGGATATTATTAGTACTTTGTAAATTCACAATCATTTTTTGAGAAATCGGAAATAGCGTAAATTACTACTTCCGGTCAACGGAAATTACTCAAAAGTTGACAGAAGGTGCAGAATTAGATCTTTTACTTACGGGTGAAATTTCATTAATCTATTTGAAATAGTACTAAAGTTATAGGCTTTTGAAAAATTCAAAGTAGAAAAAGTACCTCTTCCGGTTATCGGAAATCGCTCAAAAGTTGATACGGATCTACGATTTTGAAATTATACTTATATATGAAATTTCATCAATTTAGCTGTAACAATTAGTTAAACAGCCACTGTAAACTTTCTCTCACAGGTAACGGTGAAGTGAGCAAACAAGAATTTGACCAGGGCTGGAGACAAGAAGGTTTCCCCAACCCACAGAACGCCCCTCTCTACTTCCTCGAGCTGGACAGAGTCGCCGATGAAGTTCTCAACGCTCAAGACTTCCCACATCTGTTTCACCTTTTTGATGAAGACGGTAAGACATTGTATCTTCACACAATAAGCGTCAATAATATACTATTTAAGAGGTTATTAAAATTTAAAAGATAAATCATATTTTTAAAGACTAATTTTATTCAATATATTTCAGGCAACGGCGTCATCTCAGAGAGAGAAGCCAGATATAATTGGAACGCTTATTTCGATTAAATGCTAAATCTGTTTTTCAAGTTCTAAACCGAAGTTTTATGTTGATTTTTATGATTACCATTTTTACTTTTTTACTTTCTCGTATTTACGAAGTATGGAGAAAGTCTTGTAATCATGCAAAAAAAAAAAAATCGAGATTTTTGGAAATCTCGACGTTTTACACCTCACTGATACGGAAAAACATAATTTGCAATCTTGTCCGTATGTCTGTGTGTATGTCTGTGTGTGTGTCTGTGTGTCTGTAAACACGATAACTTGAGTACGGTTACAGCTAGGCTGATGAAATTTCATATACACGTATTTTATCAAAATCGTAGATCCGTATAATCTTTTGAGCGATTTCCGATAACCGGAAGTGGTACTTTTTCTACTTTGAATTTTTCAAAAGTCTATAACGTGAGTACTATTTCGGATAAATAAATGAAATTTCACACGTAAGTAAAAAATCTAATCTTCTACCTTCCATCAAATTATGAGTAATTTCCGTTGATCGGAAGTAGTAATTTACGCTATTTCCGATTTCTCAAAAAACACATGTAAATTTATAAAGTACTAATAATATTCCGCACTATTATGCACATTTTGTTTTGGCGTTCGCTTGGTGCGCAATTCTTTTTTCTACGAGATTCTATTCTTTTTTTTAAAGTTTAAATAATTAAAAATCATGTCTATATTCCGAGTTGCCATCCCACGTAGTGTTATATAAGAATATTTGAGAAAGTTTAGGGGAGATTACTCCCGGTTTATTAAGGTAGGTTTCGCTGCATTTATTATAGCAATAAAAAGTAAAGTTCCCTCTTCAAAACCTGAAAGGGGCAAGTGAAGTAGTGTTCACCTGTTTGCATGACCTCGGAAAATGAAGGGTTTGTGTGGTCAGCATTAAGCCCTGTCGCTTTTACAATCCCTAAAACGACTTAGATACCCATCAGAGCTGGATTGACTCAGTTACATGCTTCAATTTGAACTCGGATTCAAACTTAAGAATTTCGAGTGAGCAGTCTAATACTCTACTGCTATGCCACGCCTATAAAAATGAGTTGATTGAATCTTTGAGAAATACAGAACAATTAGAATTGAAGAATTGGTTTTGAGAAAGTATATTTACTCAGTTTACTTTCTCGTATATGGAATATAGACAATTTGTTTCAAACACTCAAAATCTAGATTTAAAAAAAATTTCAACATTACAAATTCGGAAATACTTTGTTCTTACATTTCAAATATTGTCTGTATGTCTGCCTGCCTATTTCTCAGTTTTACTTTCTCGTATACGGAATATAAACAATTTGTTGTAAACACGCAAAATCTAGATTTTAAACAATCTCAACGTTACTAAATCGGAAATACTTTGCTCTGAAATATTGTCTTTATGTTGTCCTGCCTTTTTATCTCTCTCTGTGTTGGTGTGACCACAATAACTTGAAGACCGTTTCAGTTAGGTTGACCAAATTTAATATACAAGTACTGTATCCAATTTATGTAGTTTTCTGTCAACGTTTGATCGAGTTGTGTCCTTATTCTCATTCTGTTTTTTTTTAAATCCTAAAACTTGAGTAGGCTACTTTTTCAATTCGGTGGGCAAAGTTTCGCACTTAAATTGTAGATTGTATGCACATGGTTCTGTCGATTCTAGAGCTATTTCCGATTAGCAGAAGTGATGCGTTGCTCAATTTCTGCAAGAACAAGTTAACTTGAGTGCTTTTTCAGTTAGGTAGATACAATTTCATATGCAAATATTGAGATCTTAAATTTAGATTACTTTTTAATTTTTGAGTTACCCCAAATATTTAAAGGTAATTCAAAAACTTGTTTTACAAAAGCTACTGTATCCCTTGTTTCTTAAGTACTGAAAACGTGAGTACCGTCAAAGTTAAGTGGAAAAAAATATCTAAATATGTATAATAATTAGCTTCTGTGTGCAGATTCCTTTACACCGTTAAGCGATTTCCGGTAACTGGTAAAGACACTTTTACTCCGATACTGTGGCATAGCGAGGTCGGGTGTCACCCGGTGCGGCACTAAATGGTGTCACCCCCCAGAGGCGTAGCGACAAACTTTCAAATTTTTGATTTGCACCCCCCCCATCAAACTTTCGATTTGCATCCAGTTTTTCTCTATATATTTTGCTGTTTTGTGCCTTGGTGTCACCCCTAAATAATGTCACCCGGTGCGATCCGCACATCCCCCCCCCCCCCTCGCTACGCCTCTGCTCCGATATATAATCCGATTTCTCAACAATTTTCAGAATATGACATATCAAAAATCTAATTCTTGTTTTGCATATTGTAACAACTTTTCACCTCAATGTGAGTTCTCTTCCCGCGTTAGTTAAATCCAGCAGGGTAGAACCCAACTTAGCTTCTTACCCCAGTCCAAAATAAACGAAACTTTACTAAACACGTTTAATTATTAAGTAGGCCCTACACATTCACACATGTTTTCAACACGTGTACTGGGCCTATTTTTGAGCAGTGGTGTTTCGTTAAAAAGAGGTAATGTAAAATGATTTTAGAAGTGCATTGACAGATTAATATTCTAGATTTTAAAATCTAAAAAGGCTCGTAAATGGGGATGGATCAACACACGTTAAGAAGAGAAAAAGAAAATATTGCAAGACATGCTATCGACTGGAATCCCCAGGGAAAAAGGAAAGTGGGCCGGCCAAAGAAAGTGTACCGCCCCCCCCCCCCCCCGAACGAAATGGAATTTACAGAGAAAATATATACTTTAACCAGTGTCCGCCCCCACCCCCGGAAAATGTTGACCGCCCCCCCCCCCCCCCCCCCCCCGAAAATATCAAGTGCCCTTCCCGGAGAAAAAGTCTGGAAGAAACACTGTGGGTAAAAACATGGCTATCACTGGCAGAGGAGTCGCTAGAGAGGCAGAGGAATCGCTAGAGAGGCAGAGGAGTCGCTAGAGAGGCAGAAGAGTCGCTAGGGAGGCAGAGGAGTCGTTAGAGAGGCAGAGGAGTCGCTAGAGAGGCAGAGGAATCGCTAGAGAGGCAGAGGAGTCGCTAGAGAGGCAGGAGTCGCTAGAGAGGCAGAGGTCGCTAGAGAGGCAGAGGAATCGCTAAAGAAAATGAATATATTCACCTAACTTGGGAGCATTGTTGATGAGCAAAGCGTGACAGAAATAATACAAAAACACGGACACGTAAGAGCAGAGGCGTAGCGACCCTTCCCGGCGCCCGGGGACAAACTTTCGATTTTGCAACTCTCCATCGAACTTTTTATTTGCACCCCCCTTCAAACTATCGATTCGCAGCCCCCCCCCCCTCGAACTTTTCATTTGCACCCCCCTCTCAAACTTTCGATTTGGCGCCCCCCCCTGAAGGTCGGCGCCCGGGGACATATGTCCCACCCCCCCGCTCCCCCCTCGCTACGCCTCTGCGTAAGAGCAGCCTTCGAATAGTGACTTTGTTAATGCTGTGTAAATAAATGGAATGAGTTTTAAAAGAATTACAGAATATTTTGTGTACATGTCTAATTTGAAGGGGGGGGGGGGTGTCTAAAATGAACGGTGAGGACGCGGATAGAGTGATAGTAAGCGGTTGGGGTGTCTCAAGTTTTTGTAGACGCTATACTAATACATTGTGACTTCTATAAAGATCGGTATGATGCTATGTTTATTATTATAGCTAAGAGCCCTTCCTCCACCCCCTCCCCTCGAAAACAATGACAAAACAATGAATACAACAGGAAAGTTATTAAACCCTCTTCTTTATCATAATTTATAACCGGTCCGCCGTTTCTGCGAGGCAGTTTTATAGATTTACATTACAAATAGCATATTAAATTATGAGTCTCGTTATGAGCTGCTTAGGAATCGAATGTTTTAGGCCTTAGGCCTAGGGTTTGACCCAAGTTCATGGACTAGATCTACTTCCGGTTCAAAGTTGTATCACCTTATATTTACGTTCGAATAGAAGTTGGTTATTTTTCCCATCAAAGAAACTCATTGCTTTAGGACCTTAGGATCTGGGTTAGAAGTAAAATCTAGATCTAGATCTATCTAGATTCTAGATCTAAATAAAGCACATTTTGCTATTAAAAGTATTTAAAATCTAAATAATAATTCTAGATCCAAAGGTAGATTCTAATAACAATTAACAATGGCTCTCTCTAAAAATTTATACAAATTGAAATTATCCCAGAATAACACAAAACTGGTGAGGCCACCACAGATCAAATTCGGCAATTGGATTTTAAGTTGGAGAGATCTTCATTATCATCGCCATGACTGTATATGGCGAATCATGCATATGCCTACTCAAAATATTGCAAAACAATATACTTTAAGAATAAGATTTGTAACTACAACTATAAACATGCCAAATTTTGTGTGTAGGCCTATTCCTATAAATAATATTTTTAGAAAAACTAGAGAGAACTGTTTCTTTTCCATTATACATGAAGATTCAGCATTACTACCAGTACAAGGCTGTTTTTTCAGCAGTCAGCAGAGACATTTTTGTTTCAGTCTAAATCTACAAAGCTTTGACAACAGGCAAAAATGACTTTTATTTATTTTATAATTAATATTTTTTTACATCATGGGGCATCAAAACGGCCCTGTCAAAAGGGCCAGCGACAAATGGATCCCGTCATAAAGGCTCCAGACAAATAGGCTCCCATCATTTAGGCTGCCAACATAAGGGATTTGATTATAGTCAATTTTGCTCTTGACAAAATAGCACCAGTGATTACTACTCCCGACAACTAGGCTCCTGACAAAAGGGCCCCTGTCAATACGGTTTCTGTAGAGACTTAGTCTCCTGGCCAAACGTCCTCATTGAATATGACATCTGCAAGTGCGACCCCTTCATCAATACTCTTTAGTTTGCTTAGCCAACACAAGTAATACAATGTATGCATCTCTTGTTCGGCATGCCTTATTTTTAAATTATTTTATCTAGTATAAGAAATAGTATGTTTTAAATTTAAGGATCATCTAGTTATGACTTCCAGAAATGGGCTACTCTAATACAATTTGTGGTGAGATAAGTCCACGCTGTGCATTTAGGTAGGACAAAATGGTTACTTTTATGCCAGTAGTGGTCATACGATTCATTTGTCTGGAGCCAATATGTCGGAAGTCATGCTGTCGTGAGCCCATTTGACAGAAGCCAATATGCTGAGGCTATTTTGACTGGCGCGTTAGTCCTGGACCGTTTTGATGGTGCGCCTTTTTACATAGCTCACATAATCATCATATAGAACAATAGCAAGGGAAAAAACTTGCCTCCCTTGATGGCAATCTTTTCAATGTACTGCGAATGCATATATAAATCCTCCCTAACCCTAATTCCTAACCAATTCTTACTCTAGGGTCTAAACCTAGTTACCCTATAAAAATTTAACAGACAGCTTTTATTTACTAAGTACAATAGAAGAAAAAAAGCTAAATAAATTTAATAAATACTATGAGCCAATAGGATTGGAACTCAAGCCATGAAAACAACCTTTTTGATGCGCAGCTAGGGGTTGGCATGGTTGCGATGGTAAAGTTCATGGTTGCTAAACCAAAAAGTCTAGAGTTTGAACCCTCGGGCAGATGAGGCTCGTTAGCTTATTGCCATGTTTCTGCTTGGTGGAATGCAGTTGCTCTGGGTAGTCACTTAGTATTATAATATATATAGGCCAGTAGGGTAAAAAAGACAGTAGAGCAATAGGCCTTGTACATGTTTAAAGATTTCTTCTATTCCAAGAAATTTTCTAATATTGAAAATAGTGCAACATTATACTTACATATCTTACACATTATAAGATTTGACAAAATAAATTTAGGCAGGAATGTTAGTGTCTTTATTATCAAGTATCTATGACGTCATTATTATTGTGTATTTTTTTCGGCATCGGAATTTTAATTCTGTTTACTCTAGAATCAATGATGTCATTATATTATGTGTACATCTCCGGCTTTAAATCTGTAGGCCTCCATTTTTCGTTTAGTTTTGAAAGCTAGTGGACAAAAATATTGTAGTTATTATTGAACAAACAAAACCATTTTGATATTGATCAATAAAGGTTTCCTCTGTGAATAATAAAATAGTTACAGCATGGTAAAACCAGACAAATGACTCCCATTGTAGCTTGGCATCAACCACTGTGCAAAAAAAAATTCACCAAAATAAAACTATTCTATTTATAGTTATAACATTTTTGTCAAAACAGACAGTAACTAATGCTTGAAGACTTGAACAAAGAATAACTTTGAAAAATTCATGTGGTTTATTACAAAGTGATGTCTATTTGGAAAAAAAGTTCACATAATGGTTTTATAAAGGTGAGAAATTTTGAGGGAAGAGCAATGAGAGTAACTCCTGTTTCATCTACCTTCTGCTGGTCCAAAAGGGTCATAAATTACATAAGATAAATCCTCTGCTTGTCTGTGATCAAGGAACAGCAGTGATTTTTACCTCAGAAGTAGATTAGTAGTTTTATAGGGGGTTTTGTGTGGGTATGGTGGTGTTTAGTGCCCTGCTTTGCCCCATAAACTATATGCTAGGCAATTTGCTTAGCTTCATTTAGATTTTTGAAATAATTATGTCTACCTAAAGAAAAATCTTACCCATCACACAACCCCTGTCATAACTCCAAGCAATACTAAACTTTGTACTGTCGCGAATTTAACACCAACATGCAAAACTTACAATTAATATTTAAATCAGTAAATTTTGCATGGACATTTTACCAACTGGAACAATTCATTCAGTAACACTAAAAATAATGCCATAGTTAGTTTTTAAAGGATTTAAGAGGCTCAGAATTTCCTTTTTCAAAATTTCATTTATTTTACATTCAGATTCATGTACCACATAGGTTCTCTAACATGTTTCAAGGTTTTTTTTTTCCTTCCAATTTTGCTGTTTTGATAAAAACCTTGAGATTATTATAAATTTGCCATAATATTAGCTTTCTTTGCCTGAAGCTCCAGACTAAGCCTACTTTTCTATTGAATATATCTGCTACTCTCCCCAACCACGTTTTGTTGTTGATGTATAAAAAAAAAGTCATGTTTCCTTGCACTTCTCGGAAAACATAATTTCCCCTTTCACTTTAAAGACACAATTCACCTTTCCTTTTGACAACCAACATACTGTAAAGGCTGAACCTTGTGATAAGAATCCATAGCTTTTGACAGTTGTTTAAACAGATGTGTTGAGGACTCCAGATTAATGTAAATTTTTCTAACTGTATTATGTACTTATTGAAAAGTTGTCAGACATGTATTACTGGCAAAGGCTTACCCCTTAATTGGGGCGCAAGATATATTACATTTTTTGAAAGACTGATTTTACCCAAGCAGGTTCTATACAAACCCCATTTAATACTTTAGTTCAAAAAACTTACTCATCTTCTCCATAGCACTTTAACTTTTTGTTGTAATTCCATGTAATTCTATTGTCTCATTAACTTAAAAAATTAAATAAATTCTGAAAGTTGGATTACATTCAAAATCTCTTTGTTAATGTCTACAAACTTTGGTTTAGCCTACAGGTTAGCGTTTCCAAGAGGGATCCCATAGACTAGATTGGGAACCTGTTATATATTGCTAATTGAAGTAGTTCACCTGTTTCTGTAAACTTGGCATATGAAGGGTTAGTGTAGTCAGCACTATACCCAGCTGGGTGGACTCAGGGCCGTTTAACTGATTTGAATCTGTAATTAAGCTCAAGACTTTTGGGGAAGCAGTTTATTGCTCTACCGCTAGGACATCCCCAAAGGTGACAAACTGGTTGTAAAAATCAAAATTTTCTTCCAATCTTTCTTAAAATCTAGTCTGTAGACCTGTGTTAACATGACAGGTATTTCTTTTGTTTCTATAATAAGCCTTGATGCCAGACAAAATTTAACCCTTGGATTTTTGTTTTTAAAAGTCATATGCTTGCTTTTCATTAACAAAGGAACAAATAATATATTTGTATGATTAAATATGTTATTGAGGACCTTATTTTTCATTTAGTCAACAATGTTCATTGCAATTGTATACCTCTCCTGCTTAAGTCTATTCTTAGCTAGTTCAGATATGGACTTTAATTATTAATTTTATAATAACTATGTGCTAAAAATATTCACACTTCAAAGCATAGTTGAACCAGAATTTGAGATGTATGAAAAAATTACCAAACTAAGACATATTTAAAAATTGGATACAAGATAGATGTTTTTTCATGAGCTTAAAAATGATGTTAGCTACCTTTATACTATATATACATTTCTACACTGAATTTCCAGAATGTCAAACGATGATGTATTAACGGGACTTGATGAAATTCAGGTCAAACTAATGGAGGAAGAATGTATTTTGGTGGACCAGGATGATAAAAATATTGGATCTGCATCCAAAAAAGTGTGCCATCTTCTAGATAATATAGAAAAAGGTAAGCAATTAAATTTTAATTTATAATAATAACTGCCATTTGACTAATTCCTTAGAATTATTGAACACTTATGATTTTTTACACTGATATGATTTTTTAATGGCAATTTCTTTGTCAGGAATGTTGCACAGAGCATTTAGTGTGTTTCTTTTTAACACAAAAGGGGAACTGTTGCTTCAGCAAAGGGCAGAAGCAAAAATTACTTTTCCAGGTTAGTTTTTTCTGTTTACTTTATTAATCCTGTTTATTTTACCCTCCAACAACTGCACTTATGTATGGTTCTTGACTAATTTTGAAGTTGTAGTTTTGGGCATCTAAACCATTTTTTCAAAAGCTTTTGCTATTAAAAAAAAAAAAGCCCTGTAAAAAAAGTTGTATATATTTTTTTCATACTAACTGTTCATTACCAGCCTTCCATTTTAACATTTTGTAATGTCTGTAATTTTTACCTAATGAGTTCAATTGTGTGCTTCTTACTAGACAATTGTTTTTATCAGTATAAGCTGGACTCTAGAATAATTGTATTGTATTATTTCATGACTTTAGTAAGGCATTAGTAAAAAAAAGTCATGGGAATTTTGGTTCATAAAAACATGATCAGTTATATTACATTTCATGTGCTGATTAGGAAAAGATGTTACATATTGATTGCAAACCCTATGTCCCCAGATCATTTCACGAATACATGTTGCAGTCATCCGCTGAATTTACCAGCTGAACTTGATGAAACTGATGCAATAGGTGTTAAACGGGCTGCACAACGCAAATTACTTCATGAACTGGGTATTAAAGCTGAACAGGTGTGTCACTTAAAAAAAAATTATAACTATTTTTTTATGCATTGCTTGGACAGTGACCTATGGTGTACTGTGTAATTTTTTCATTTTTAGAAATCCTTTAGAACTGAGTAAATCGTTAATAGTCTTAGCTACCTAATTTACAATAAAGTCAGTGTTATTTATAAATTGGATGCTATGTTTATAAACATTGCAGTAGTAGTTACAAGTGCCCATCTGAATGGGGCAGGTGAAGTAAAGTTCACCTGTGTCATTTACCTCAGCATATAAAGGGATAGCGTGGTCATGCCCAGCCACCTATACTTTCCATAACATTAGTAAGGTGCCCAGATGATTCAAGGACATTCCACGGACCGGAACCTTGGATTTGTACTCAAGGACTTTTGGGTTAGCAGTTATATCTCTACCATCTCGCCATGCTGTCCCACACTAGTAGTTTAAGCTAAGAGTTAATGTAAGTGCTCAATAAGTTAAGTCCCTTATGCTGTTTTGGGGTCACAGACAAGAGATGGGTTGAATGTCATTAACAAGGGCTGTTTGATAAAGGGAAACGTGTTAAATGATTTGGTCAAATGCCTGGATTTTCTAAATGCATGGCTGCTTGATAGCTTTAGGGCTTGTAGGTTGTGGTAGAGGAAGTTATTGTGCAATTTTTTTCTACAGTGTAAATTTTCCATAAAGTACTAGTGTACTCATCAAGCATTGCTGCAATTTAGTCTTACTAACTATTACTAATATAAAGAAAGCTTGTGATATATTTCTTGGAACTTGATTGGTGGAGCGCTGCTTTGTCTACACTACCTTCCAGATGATCCAGGCTGTATAAAAGTCTTGATTTCAGGTCCATCACTATCCTTAGCAGTGAGATAGCTCACTTACATTACTGAGGTGTGCGGGTTTAGTCATTGAAAATAGTAGCCCACGTGCCCCTAGAGTAGCATGCTTTTTAAAATTAATATAGGTGCCGTAGTGCTCATAGGAGAGCCCTAACGGGTAAATGCGCCTGTTACAGGTTGACGGTTAAATCAGGATGCCCAAATAATGGATTCCAGATGTTAAGATAGCTGTTAGGGAACTCTGGGCACCAAACTGCACTTAAAATTGTAATTGTTTTAAAGAAGAAACCTTTACAATAGTATTCTTGACAACACGTAAAGTTTTACAGTGATGTGATGAATGGTATCGTAATGAATTAAAGACCCCTTTACCCACACATCCATTTATATATATCTATATCGATTGCATGTGTCTTTTGTGTACATTAGGCTGGATGAGTTACTTGTATAATTGTAATAAAAAGAGTACTACATACATTGTACAGTATAACACAATGGTAGAACGGTAGGGCATACAACTGTTAACCTGAAAGTCTTGAGTTAGAATTCTAGGCTTCAATCATTAATTATCCCTGAGTTAACCCAGCTCTAATGAGTACAAGAAACCTCTGTTAGGGAAAGTAAATCAGCTTGGCATAGTGCTGACCATACTATCTACCTAAGCCCAAATCACAGAAATAGTTACATCTATCATTCTTCAACAGATTTTGCATTTAAGATGCATTATTCTAAAGCCCAATTTTCTAGGTGCCTTTGGAGGACTTCCACTACCTGACACGGATATTGTACAAAGCTGAGAATGTACCCAAAGATTACAAATGGGGAGAGCATGAAATTGATTATATTCTCTTTATACAAAGAGATGTTGATGTAGAAGTTAACCCTAATGAGGTTAAAAGTTACAGATATGTTAGTCAACAGGAATTGAAAGATATAGTTGGTGAGTTTTTATGTATGCTAGCATTTTATATGTAAATAGTGTAACCAGTTTTTTTTCGTTAAATTAGTGTTTATTGTGTGCCAATACATTTGTCATTAAATTTGTTCTGAATGTGGGTTCATCTCTTTTAATACAGATTCAGCAGATAGTAAAGGACTATTGTTGACACCCTGGTTTAAACTTATTGTTCAAAGTTTTTTACAAAAGTGGTGGAACAATCTGTCTGACATTGAGTCACAAGCTGACAGAGAAACAATTCATCGCATGGTGTAATAATAACTTGGAACTAATATATAGTCAGTGCAATTTTTACTGGGTATTGTTTTGATTTTTTTACTTTATGTATTGGAGGTAGAAACATTTTTTTGTAATACCTTAATGAAAGTGTCTTGGAAGTTTAATAAAAATGTTTTTTGATTTAAAGGAAGAAATAGTGAATGATTAAAGAATGCTTATATTTCAAACTTTAAAAAAAAATGATAATGATTCTTTTTCTTTTAAGTCAATCAGATTTTGTATTAATTTTTATAAATCTAAGTTGTTTTTAAACATTTCCTACAACTACAATATTTTATAACTTTTTAAAAGGCGTTATGGACCAATGCCTTTTAAACTGCTTTATTTGAAAAAAATATATTTATAGTATTAAAAATAAATTTTGTATTTAAACTGTGTTGAAAGAAAAAACAATGACCATTAGTTTTTCTTAATTTAATTGCATAAGTACATTATACATATTTGTTTAGATATTTTGACATTTGAAAAATACACCTTTAGGTTATTGTTCAAAGAAACCATTGTCAATAAACCATAATATTATGATAGAATGAAACAACACACATACAAATTTCAACAACAAACAAACAACACCATATTTTATTGTATTGTGAAATAATCTAAGTAACCTTATACCTTATGCTGAAATGAACACAATTGTGCTTTTATTTGTAAAAAAAGATACTAAAAATGGAAATGATTTTTTTTTCAAAATGTATATTTCATATCACAGATTTAAATTTAAGATTAATTGTTTTACTCTGCACTATCAATTAGGGATTTGTTTCACATGGATAAGTCTTCTATTTAAATTTATGATTTTGCTCTCTAATAAAGTTTTATTTCACACACAGATTAAAGTTTATATTTAAATTTATCTTTTTGCTCTCTTATAAGAGAAAGAGCTCTTGATCTGATATCATCTGTAGGTTTTGTAAAGTCTCCACTATCAACCATTCCAATGGATTGTAGCACAGCCTTTTCTGATGTACGCAGAAATGGATTGTAAGCTTTTTCTTCTCTCATGGTTGATGGACACTATAAATTATAGCATAATAGAAAATAGTATTGGTAATGAGGCTTTAAAATAAAAAGTATGGGGAAAAAAACATTTGTGGTGGAAAAAGGTTGGGTGAATTAACTACTTACAGTGCACAAATTGTTCTCTCTCTGGCTTAGTACCCATTCGAATTTTTTCTGAAAATAACAATGGCACTTGAAAATCCGGTCTGTAAAAGTAAATAAAATTTAAATATTTTTTATACTAAGTTGTTAGTTACTAAAAGCACATTTGATAAGTGTGTATTAAAACATTTCATAGAAAAAGTAAAAAAAAAAAAAACACAGTTGAATAAAATATACTCTTCTAATGTCTTGTGAAGACAAATTTCATAGATTTTAATAAGCATTTATTTTTGTGTTGTCATATGGACAATAGGCTGACTAGACAAAAGATATGCAGGTTATAAAGTCAATGTACAAAACATGGGCAATAGTTAATAAAAAAAACTAATCTACTGATATTACTAAGCTCAATAGGGACCACTAACTAGATTGGAATTGGATCTATTTTTATTTTTCAAAATAATTTTCTCATTAAAACTTCAGTTTAATTTCTGATTAAATGAAAAAGTAAAAATTGATTGATACATTTAAAGAAAGTAAAATTACAAGTCTTTTTTGGGTATATAAATATAAGCTCAAGTTGTATGCAATTCCATATAAAAATTCCAGACTGATTCTGTTTTCTTGCACAGATAGTACAAATCTATCTATCACTTCTCTTATAAATCTTTCCTTTATTGGTGGCTATCATCATTTCTTTGCCCAATATTTTATAATTGACTCATCAAATGGTTTTAGATTATAGTTAGTAGGGAAAAGCAGTGAAATCTTCACCTCCCTGTAGGTAGTATATCTTAAACAACTACATGCCCCTCAAATCATTGTATTTGGAGCTTCACCTGTTTCAAGTTTGCTACAAATTGTTTTGTTGAAATGGTAAAATTTTGTGCACAAGTTTTCACCAATAGCATACTAAGACAACCAGAGGAAACAATTAAAAATAAAAGACTGACTGACAATTTAATCAAGTACTGAAGAAAGTTTATCAATGTATAAAATCAGTCTGTTGATACCATTATCTCTATACTATACACCAGGGGTTCCCAACCTTTTTTTTTACTCTAGAGCACATTCTAAAATATCGGTAGGGTGGCGGGCTCCACCTATTTTAAATCGACAAACTCCTTCCATAACTTGTCATTTAACATTTTCCCATAATTTATTTTCTTATTTTCTTATTATATTATAGTCATAATGTATTAATAAATAATAAACAAAACTGTTTAAAAATAATAAAATTATTTGGTATTTTTTTTCAAATTGCATACACACAGAGAAATGTATTTACAAAACGTAAATAGTGCGGTCAAGCTCGCTGCTAGACAAGTTGGGACAAGTATCGAACATATTTAATAAACCTAGGCAGTCAAAAAAAAAATTAAAACTATAACAAATGAATAAAAATAAATATTATTTTAAAATAATGTTAATGAAAAAAATTCTGTCTCTGTCAAATAGTGAGAGGCGGGTACATATGAATCGTTCAGAGGGCACCATGGCGCCCGCGGGCACAGGGTTGGGAACCCCTGCAATACACTAACCTGCAGTGTGCTATTGTCTGGCTCCAAAACACTTGCAAAGTTTAAGTTGTCTTTTGCATATTCATGTCCTGATAATTTAATTACGTTAAAATTTGAATTCAATTTTGTACCAGTTGAATAAAAAAAAGGACAGATTAAAACAGATAAACTAGGGTTCGTAGGAATTAAATCTTGCTAAAACTAGTCAAATTGTTCCTCGACTAAGGTTTACCCCCTCTACCTGGCCACAGCAGTGTATCCTCATTTAGCGACATCAGCTTGTCTAAAGAATGCAGCATAATTGAAGGAGCTGTTTCAAAGATGCGCCCTACAGGTGAAACATTAAACTCATTTAATATAACTATTGAACTCTCATGCCTCTTGGTGTATTTGTGTCATGGCATCTTATGTTGCTGAAATTTCAAATATCACTATACTTCTGACCATACTGATACAGAAACAAAGTCCACACATCTAACCTTTGGCAAATCTGGTTTTTAAGCAGTAGGCCTATTGTTAAGAATGTTTCACACATAACCTATATAACTATTTTGTTAAGTTTACCATTACCGTAGAAAGCAATTAAAAAAAAAACAAGCTACTAAAGTAACATCTAGTGAACTTACCACAACCTCCTAAAAATAGACAGTCGCCGGAAAACAAACTATCAGCTGCAGCAAAGACGCTCCCATCTAAAACATAGACCACATGACCAACAGTATGGCCTGGAGTAAAAATCACACGGAATTTTAGATCTCCAAACTCCAAAATTTGTTGGTCTGAAATGACACTTAAAAATAAAAAATTATTTTTTTTTACAAAAAGTTTTCTTAGCATGGCTGCAATTTAAATTCATGCATCTTTTGTGCGGTATAAGTAGTTTAACTTTATGTATATAGATGTTAATTTACTGTGTGGATGTACACATTGACCCCCTGCCCCTATCATAAAAAAAATTCAACATCCCTTCTCCTTGCAGATGTTCCAACTGGTAATGCCCTTTCATGTCAGCTAATATCAGACTTTTAAAGTTTCAATACATTTTTAGTTTTTAATGCCTAAATGACATCTAGGTCAACACAAGTAGAACATCTGATAAAAAGAACAATGGCAGACAGAAATAATAATAAAAACATTGAGTTAAAAAAAAAATTACTGCGTGCTATCTGGCACATTGTCTAAAGATCCTCCATACACAGGAATATTTGGGAAATGCTGCCTCAATTCTCTGTTACCACCACTGTGATCCCTGAAATACAGAACAGTAGACAATGAATTGTTAGATATATTGAGTAATAAACCGGGAGTGATCTCCCCTAAACTTAATAGAATATTCTTATATAAAACAACAGGGGATGGCAACTCGGGATATTGACATGATTTTTAATCCATTTTAAATACTTAAACTTTTTAAAATAGAATAGAATCTCGTAGAAAAAACGATTGCACACCAAGTGAACGCCAAATAAAATGTGCATAATAGTGCGGACTATTATTAGTACTTTATAAATTGACATGCGTTTTTTTGAGAAATCGGAAATAGTGTAAATTACTACTTCCGGTGAACGGAAATTACTCAAAATTTGCCAGAAGGTAGAGAATTAGATCTTTTACTTACATCTAAAATTTCATTTATCTATCTGAAACAGTACTCAAGTTATAGGCTTTTGAAAAATTTAATGTAGAAAAAGTTCCGGTTATCGGAAATTGCTCAAAAGTTGATACGTATCTACGATTTCAATATATATTATATATGAAATTTCATCAACCTAGCTGTAACGGTTCTCAAGTTGTCGTGTTTACAGATACACACAGACATATGAACAAGATTGCAAAACTATGTTTTTCCGACTCAGGGAGGTGTAAAACATCGAGATTTGCAAAAATCTCGATTTTTTTGTGTGCACATTTACAAGACTTTCTCTATACTTCGTATATACGAGAAAGTAAAAAAGCGACTTGTTATATATATATTGAGTAAAAAAGCAAAGTTCCTCTTTAGAACTAGATATATATACATTGGGCAGATGAAGAACTCAAGACTTTTGGGCTGGTAGCCAAAAGCTCTATTTGACCACATTGTCCTACAGATGTATTGATTAGCATTTGCTCAAGTGGCTTCTGAAAACATGAAACCCTTCCAGACACAACAGTCAACAAAGAAGATTTTGTGAGCTTGGCATACAAAAACATTGCTTTGAGTAGCCAATATAGTGCCCCATTGCATTTTATTCTAGTATTCTTCAAGTTAAACTGACATGACAGTACAATGTATCATTATTTCTGTGCACACCAAAGTTTGAATAAGGGTTGGGTAGCAAAACTAGCCCAACCAGCATTAAAGAATTATAGAAGAAATATGACTAAAAGTAAACTCTAATGTTCAAAGCAATGTTGTTTATTTTTAGACATGACAAATGAAAAAAAAACACATACCAGTGTTTGTGGGTTACAAGTATTGCATCAGGACGGATGTTTCTTTGTGACAGAACTTTCTAAACAATAAAATGATTCAAAAGTTGTTAGAAAATATTTTGTTAAAAGATTAAATATTTTTAATAACTACGGAAAGTTTGTAAATAATATTATAAATGTACGTCATACTTGAGTTGCTTCTGAATGCCCTGGATCTATAAGAACTGATTTATTATTTTTTGCATCTGTAACCAAATAGGCGTAGTTGTCTAATAACATAGGAATCGGCAGTATACTTAAAGCTGTAAAAAAATAAAATTTAAAAATTATTCACAGACAAAAATATTTAGAAATTCAGTGTTACTGGTTCAGACATTATACACTAAGCTTTATCACTACCAATAAAAGAAATATAAAAAAAATTTATAATAATATCCTTTTAAATGTAGTGCAAATTTTTAAAACAAGAAAACAAACTTGCTTTTTTTAATAAAAGTATTAGTCATCAAAACAGATGTTTTCATAAGAGATATTACTTTTATTAAAGAAACAAAAAAACTGTGACCCACAGTTCACCGACGTTGGGTGGCTGATCAAGTGAATAGCTAGTACTAAATTCCCTTTTGTTACTGAATTAGAATAATTACATTTTAATGACTAATCTCATGTCTAATCAGAATAAAAAATAAGATATCCTTGTATTGTTGTTGGAGACTAACATATCTGGAAAGTTACAACCGCTGCATTAGAAGTGGGTTAAAATTGAGTTGCAAGATTTGCAACAAACAAGCAAGGAACAAACTTACCACCAAAATTAAATTCTGTTAACTCAGAATGTCCACTATTTCCAAGTTTTTCTTTTGCTTTCTTAATGTCATTTTGGTGATAATAATAGCCAATCCTTGTTTTTGCATATATGAAGTACCTATGTAGAAAATGAATAACATGTTTAGATTTTGCTAACATCTTGTGTTGTTACAACTAAAGTTTAGTAAAAGTTAATTGTATTTTCTCAAGTAGGCCTACTTGCCATTTATTAGACCCATTGAAATTATATAGTCATAACTACCAGTAATCTAACATCCCTTATTAAGGAAGAAGATTCTGGTATGTGTTATACCAGTGTCAGATAATGGCTTAACAATAGAACATAGTGTCTATTCCCAGTCAACTGGGAATAGCCATACAGGGCTATTCCCAGTCGGAACTGTTTTCAATACATTTAATGTTAAAAATTCAGTGAAAGGTATAAAGCTGTGTGGTCAAGTGGAGCTTTGCATGGCTATGGTTAGAACCAATCCAATGTCTAATTGGAATAGGCAGTTATTCTCAACTAATTAATTTTTCTTACTGTTATCTGGCTGTAGCTTGCCATAAATCTAGTTTATAGATCAATCTGGATAAAATCATTGTGTTCTCAACTTAAAAGAACTATCAAGCTTAGTTTAAACTATTACATAGATACTTCATTTATAATTAATATATTGCTAGCTTAAGGGGATATGCTATGTTTTTTTCTATTTTTTACAATTTAAGATCTAAAGCCTTTTGAATACTTTTATCATATTTGGCATATAAAAGTAATTATTAAACAGCAAAAAAAGGATCGTAAACAATTTTGGTTGTCATGGAAACCCAAAAAACCTCAGCCATTTTGAATTTTTCGGTACTTTTAAAAATACTAAGGCTTTTTTATTTATGCACCTATAGCAACCAAATTTAAACTGCTTATATTTCAGTATATATTAAAACTTTTGTCACGACAACTTTTTGAAATAATTACTAGTAAGAATTTTACAAGGTCTAAAAAATCGTACCCTTTTTGTATTCAAAAGTTTCAAAATTTGCATATTAATTACCAAATACTTTTTTTCTATGAAAGGAATCACAATTCCCTTGTGACAAAAGTTGTATTTTTGCATCAAGAACAAGTACTGAAAATATGGTTGGCATTGTTTAATAAATAAAAAAGTAGTAGGGTTTTTAGTGTTAAAAACATGCGAACTGAGAAAAACAGCCAAAAGTAACGAAAACTAGGTCAGGAAAGTACCATATCTGTGTAAACTGCAAAGCCGATTGTAAGCTTTGGGTGTTTCCGAGATGTAGGAAATTAAGTTTATTAGATACATGAGAAATCCAGCTTTCCAATGATGTCAAATACAATATAATGAAGGATATAAAACTTTTCTTAGAGATCTTGTAAGATTGGGAAAAATTGATTATTTTTTAATTAATAGGGTCATAAAAATCGTAATTCAAACACATAAAATATTTTTTTCTCTTTAAAGTTATTATTTTCTTTATTCAAAAATGGACAAAGTATCCAAAAGCACAAGAAACCCATCATGACGAAAAACAAGAAATTTTGTGATTTTTTTCTGCGCATATCCCCTTAAGTTTATTAATTAGGCTATCAATTAGTAATTAGGGCCTAATAAATTTAATTAAGCTAATGGCTAGGACTGCCTAGTACCAGTAGGCCTAATAAATATAAATGAAGTAAGGCCAGTATACTACTAGTATAGTTGCGTATAGAGTAGTATAGTATAGGGCATAGGGGGTAATCTATTGTTTTAGGTGCGTACAATCTGCAAAAACTAGTAAGGTGAAAAAAAGTTGACTCATTAAATTTTAGTAATTATTTCACACTTTTAGGAGGATTTATGTTTTGAAAGTTACAAAAATGTTTCAAAGTTTCATTAATGTACCTGTTTTTAAACAATCGTATTAAAACTTTTCAGTAATAAATAAAGATTAGCTATGTTTTCATCAGATGCAACCAAGCTCATTTACTTTAGCAGCTATATTGTTTAAGTTTTTTGGATAAAATTATAGTTAGATATTCAGGGGAAACCACTCTAACTTACAGATGGCCTCTGTTTATATATATAGCTAATCTTGCTCGCAAACACAGCTGTTAATTTCTGGCCTATATTCACACATATTGATATTAAGCCATTGATTTTGGTTTATCATGCAGTTAGTATTACTATACTATAGGCCTAACTATAATTAATTATAATATTTGACACATATATCACAATATACGGTAATCTATCGTTTTGGGTACGTAAAATCGCCCGCGACTAGTAATGTGAAAAACAGGTGACTCCTTAAATTTTAATAATTATTTCACATTTTGAGGAGGATTTGTGTTTTGAAAAATACAAAAATGTTTCCTTGTTTCATTTATGTACCTGTTTTCAAACAATTGAATTAAAACTTTTCAGTAATAAATGAGCACTAGCGATGTTTCCAACAGATGCAACCATGCTCATTTACTATAGCAGCCATCTTGTTTAAGTTCTTTCTTTGTTAACTTATAAAGCGCTAGATCAGGGGAAGGCAACTCTATTTTACAAATAGCTGCTGTTTATATAGGAAATCCTGCTCACAAACACTGCTGTTAAAAGTTAATTTCTTGCCTATATTGATATATTTAGCTATTGCTTTAGGTTATTTATTCATTTATCTATAATATTTGACACACATATATCAAAATATACTTCTATTAAAGCCTTGACAATGAGGTAAATTTTTCGTACATTACTAGCCGCGGGCGATTTTACGTACCCAAAACGATAGATTACCCAATATACTTATATAAGCCTTAACAATAAGGCAACTTTTTTGCACATTACTAGCCTCGGCTGATTTTACGCACCTAAAAATAGTTAAAATACCCCATAGGACTACTCAAATGCAAAGTTAATACTAAAGTAAATCTCTTGTAAGTTGTTCACAGTTATAATTAGGCTATTACTATTACTATACTATAGTATAGTTTAGTTTATAGGCCTAAGGTATACAACTTTTTTATACTAATCTTATGCTACTACATAATCTACTAATCTAGACGTTAATCTAGACCTAGAATCTAGACTAAGACTAGCCATCTTTTACACGACTGGAGACTGCAGTGACACGGTGACGGTGTGTGTCGGCACTGTCGGTGTTGTGTCACTCGCTGTGATAAATGTTGGGGTCTAAATAATAGTAGCCTTAATAATACTAAATATCTATTATACATATAGATGTAGTTAAGAAGTTATTCTGCAGTTAATCTTTAAATTTTAGGCTATATTTAATGAAGCATACCCTATTCGAAATAAACAACTACCAGCCTTAGCCATTTGGTTTGTTTATGTTGCCATTATTCGACTACGCACATACTTTAACCGGAAATGAGGTATCGATTCTACGTAAACAAGAATAGTCCTGTGTTAAGAAAAATAAAGCGGGAGTGATCTCGCCTAAACTGTCTTGCATGTTGCAAAAAAGTTTAGTGCACTGGGAACGGCACTTCCTCCAGTCCGATCGGGCCTTAGAAATGGGTTTTTTTCATTTATTTTTTTTACTAGCTTTTATTTAACTTTCTTCCTCGGTCTGTCGTCCGTAATGGATCGAAATAAGCGAGCGAAATTTCGGCAAGTTTTAACTGACCGATTCGTTTTAAACTTGGCACGTATGTCAAGATTCAATGACTATACAATCTATCTAACATCTTCTTACTTCTTCGTTCTTAATTTTAGTGTTAAGAATACGTGTCAACTGGTTATGCGCGATGCCCAACCAAGAACAAACTACAAGGGTTGATTTTGGGGTTGTCTCTCCTAGAAGAGTGGTTGTCCCCAGCTAGAGAGCCTCATCTGCCCGAGAATTCAAACTCGAGCTTTACCGACTCGACCACGCCGAATCTAACATCAAATTTGACTTAATTGGATGGCTAATTAATCTTTTATGAAATAATTACAGTTTCTCATATAAAGTAGGGCCCTACTGTTTACCGTACTATTGTATGCACAGTTTTCTTATCAATTGGGTGTGCAGTTGTTTTTAGTCATGCAACTCTACTGAATTAAAAATTTTAATGTACTAAAAAATTCATAAGAAATGCATAAAAACCGTTTTAATAACGCTCTTATGTAATAAATTATAATGCACTAAAATGAGAAAATATTGATTTTCTTTAAATATACAATAATACACTATTTAAAGTGACTATAAAGATTTTTCACGATTACAATACTTCCTCTATACTTCGTATACAAGAAAATAAAACCTAACTCTAGACAAAAATATATAGATCTATGCGTATATAGAAAAATCGCAACCTCCCGGGGCACCGCCCTTGCGAAATTAAAAAAAAGATTTTTTTGCAGAAACCTCCCCTGGAGTGTTCTAATCAACTCCTCAAAGCGTCATGGCGAGTGGATGAAGGATGTCAAACTGCAATCGACTAAATTTTTATATACCATATATAGAGAAAAAAAAATCGAATCGCGCCCTGCTGTCAATAAGTCTCCTGACAAATAGGCTCCCGTCATTTTGGCTCTCGACATATAGGCTCCCGTCATTACGACTCCCGACAAATAGGCTAGCGTCATTTTGGCTCACGACAAAAAGGCTCCTGTCAATTTGGCTCCAGACAAAAGGACCACTGACATTGCCGTTTCTGTAGAGACTAAGTCTCCCGGCAAAGCGGTCTCATTGAATATGACACCTGCCAGTGGGGCCCCTTCATCAATATTCTTTAGAGTTAGCTTATCCAACACTCTTATGTAATACAACGTATGCATCTCTTGTTCGGCAGGCCTTATTTTTATATTAGTTTATCTATTATAAAATATAGTATGTTTTAATTCATAATTGAGTCGGTTATAGGCTGTTCCAACTCAGTGTGTGGGGAGAAGGGTCCACGCTGTACATTCCTACCTGCAGTATGCTTGTAGGTTATCAAAACAAAATGCTGTTATCATGTAAACATAATGTATAGCATACATTTACACTTCTGTGCTCGCTTTTAAGCAACAGATCTTTTCTGTTGTAAATTAAACATTATCAAAACTTTAAAATTGGTGAAATTTAGCTGTTAAAGGCTCGATTTGTTTGTGAATTAATGTTGGTTCACGAAAAACAATTAAATTCGGGCATTTAAAAGAGTTTATAGTGGTATTGGAGGTTGGACAAAATGGTTACTTTTATGCCAATAGTGGTCATGCCATTCATTGGTCTGGAGCCAATATGTCGGGAGTCATTTTGTCAAAAGCCAATATGTCGGGAGCCCAATTGCCGGGAGCCAATATGTCGGGAGCCCATTTGTCGGTAGCCAATATGTCGTGAGCCCATTTGTCGGGAGCCCATTTGTCTTGAGCCATTATGTCGGGAGCCAATATGTCGGGAGCCGCTTTGTCGGGAGCCAATATGTCCTGAGCCTATTTGTCAGGGTTTAATATGTGGGGAGTCCATTTGTCGGAAGCCTAAATATCGGGAGCCCATTTGTCGGGAGCCTATATGTCGCAAGTCAATATGACGGGAGCCCATTTGACGGGGCTATTTTGACTGGGTCATTTTGTCGGGGGTCGATTTGACGGGGTCAAATTAACGGGGCCGTTTTGACGGGGCCGATTTGTCCCGGGCCGTTTTGACAGGGCACCCTTCCCAGGAGTATTCCCGACAACTTCCCAACGTTTCATGTCGATCGGAGGAAAGGTGCAGTAATGTATAAAAGACAAACAGACAGACAGACAAACATGTATTGCTTTTTATACAAACAGATATATTGGCATGTAAATTAATGTTGGTGTCTACAGTTATCATTGGCATGTACTGTTGTCGTTGGGGTGTATAGTTATCGAGATGTGTACTCATATTGTTGGTATGTAGACGAACAGTTATCATTGGTGTGTACATTTTTCTTTGTTGTGTACAGTTATTATAATGGTGTGTACAGTTATCTTTGTTATGTACTGTTGTTATATTGGTGTGTACAGTTATCTTTGTTGTGCACAGTTGTTATAATGGTGTGTGCAGTTATCTTTGTTGTGTACAGTTGTTATAATGGTGTGTATAGTTATCTTTGTTGTGTGCCGTTGTTATATTAGTGTGTACAGTTATCTTTGTTGTGTACAGTTGTTATATTGGTGTGTACAGTTATCTTTGTTGTGTACCGTTGTTATATTGGTGTGTACAGTTATCTTTGTTGTGTACCGTTGTTATATTAGTGTGTACAGTTATCTTTGTTGTGTACAGTTGTTATATTGGTGTGTACAGTTATCTTTGTTGTGTACCGTTGTTATATTGGTGTGTACAGTTATCTTTGTTGTGTACAGTTATTATAATGGTGTGTACAGTTATCTTTGTTATGTACTGTTGTTATATTGGTGTGTACAGTTATCTTTGTTGTGTACAGTTGTTATAATGGTGTGTGCAGTTATCTTTGTTGTGTACAGTTGTTATAATGGTGTGTATAGTTATCTTTGTTGTGTACCGTTGTTATATTAGTGTGTACAGTTATCTTTGTTGTGTACAGTTGTTATATTGGTGTGTACAGTTATCTTTGTTGTGTACCGTTGTTATATTGGTGTGTACAGTTATCTTTGTTGTGTACCGTTGTTATATTAGTGTGTACAGTTATCTTTGTTGTGTACAGTTGTTATATTGGTGTGTACAGTTATCTTTGTTGTGTACCGTTGTTATATTGGTGTGTACAGTTATCTTTGTTGTGTACAGTTGTTATAATGGTGTGTACAGTTATCTTTGTTGTGTACCGTTGTTATATTGGTGTTTACAGTTATCTTTGTTGTGTACAGTTGTTATAATGGTGTGTGCAGTTATCTTTGTTGTGTACAGTTGTTATAATGGTGTGTATAGTTATCTTTGTTGTGTACAGTTGTTATATTGTTGTGTACAGCTATCGAAGTGCGTACACTAATTCTTTGTGTGTGCATGAATTATCCAGTCTATGGCGAGAGTTACTCCCCTCTATACGAGGGGGTCAAGGCCAAGGACATTTTCCTGCCCAGCATCTGCTGCCTGCTTTAAGTTTAAAACAGCAGAGGCCATTCAGGAGTTTTATACAATTTTAAACGTGGACAAGAACATTATTTTGTTTTTCATCCTGTGTATTTATATTCATGTAATTACAAATCAATGTACTTAAGAAATCACAATATAAAGTGTTTTTGTTTCAAATTAGTTTTAAACATAAATAAAACTTCTCTTTTCAAAATTAAATTCGAAAAAATCATGTCTACTTACATTGTACCTTTAGTAAGGTGCACTAATCAGCTTTTGCTTTTTAAAAAAAAGTTTTTTTAACTCTTAGAAAAATAAACATAAATTCAGAATTTTAACATCAAAGTACTAACTAACTTATTAAAACTATGTAGCAATGCAGGAATATGAATTAGAATTATAAAATAACACTATTTAAACAAACCTGTCTTATTTAGATATATTCTCAATACTATAGTGAAGAGTTAATATTAAAACAGTTAAACTAAAAAACATTAAACTAATTTGCTTTCCTAGTTTTTCTACACCGGTGTTTTAACTAATGTTTGGGTCGATGTTCAACAACAATTTAACTAACACGCTGGGAAATGTTACAAATTGTATGTTATTAACCTATTTGTCTAATTCAAACACATTCATGATACAAAAAAATTGTATAGCTTCTAGTAATTTAAACTGTAATGACTTTATTTGAGGATTTTGTTATTATAGATTAAACTTATAAACTCACATAAAAAATGTATATTTAATCGAATTAAAAATTAATTTAAGTTCACAATAACAAACTATTAAAATGTTAAGTATATTACCTCCCTTTGATTATAAACGTACAGTGCCTGCCCTTAGACGATTAGACGAAATAATCCATAGATTGCTGAGAGTGAAACTCTAGAGCAATGAAGTTTTATTTTTTAAATACTTTGAAGCACACTTCCTACTTCCTAATTCATGAATTAAATTTAACAATTCAGTGTATGCTATTACTTCCATACAAACATTCAGCACAGATATTTGTGATAATTTTGAAGATTTAACAGGTAAAGCATTAATATTCATTAAAGTAATCAAATGGGAATTATCCAGTTGCACAATTTTATATTGCACATTGACAACATTCAAATAATATACGTAGATCTACAACATTCATAACAAAATGCATAACAATTTTTTTGTAAACAAAGTGCGTACATCCGTTTTCTGTTTCATGATTTGTGTAGGTGATTAAGTCCCAACATAATATGAACAGTTTGTATAATCATCTTGTCTCTGAACAATTGTTGTTTGAAATATATACCCAACATGACATATGTTGATAAATAAAAATGAAAAACTCTTGAACTAGTTGTTTTCATCTGGGACAAGATGGCGGGTTAAAGTCGCCAAAAATGTTCAGTTCATATAAACAAGACAGCGCCACCACTAGGAGGTATATAAGGAGACAGAAAACACCGTAGCCTTTGGTCAGCTTCCATTTGTTGACGCCCATGGATATGAGCAGGAACGCTACTGTAGCGAGGAGCGTGAGAGAGGAGTAGGTCAACCCCCCGCTGGTGATGGGCACGCTGTCCCCAGATTTGATGATGCTCTCTATGAGCCAGGGCATGCCCAGGCACAGCAGGATGTCAAAGACGTTGCTGCCCAGAGAGTTGGACACTGCCATGTCGCCGTAACCTGCGGGTACACAGAGAGACTTCACTAATGGTCAAACATAATTCAATCAAGGTTTTTTTTTTATAGTTAAGGTAAATACATTACATACAGAAGATACAAAGATAGATTTTGATGTTTGTAAAACATTTAATCAAGGTTTATTTTTTTACAGTTAAAGTAAATACATTACATGCGGAAGATACAAAGATAGATTTTGCTGATTGTGAAAGATCATTCAATCTAGTTTATTTTTTAAACATTAAAATACATTACAGACACCAGTTACAAGGACAAAGTTTAGTGATATTGAAATATCGCGGAATCAGTTTTTTTAAATAGTTAAATACTTAACAGTGGACAGAGATTTTAATAATGGGACGATTCGTGTACAATTTTTTTTGCTGTAGAGGCAGGGATAAATGTGATTTAGCTCGTACCCTGCATTGGTTTCACTTACAATCTACATACATCGACCTATATTGGATTTTGCCAACAGGTTTTAGCACAAAAACCCAGTTTTTATGTAAGGTAATCATTATTGATTTTCTAAAGTATACGTAGGTGGTATTTTAAAAAAAAAAGATTTCTTGAGCTGTTTGGGGTCATTTGGGGTCATTTAAAAAAAAATCTTGATGTAGGCCTTTTTAGCAGTTTTATTTTTTTTTATTTTGTAGTTTAAAAAATTATTTATGTTGGCCAAAAATATACGTTGGAAACCCACCCCACAAAAAAAAAAAGAAATAATTTACAATACGATTATGTTTTTCCCATCTTTGGCCTCCAAACTATTTGATTAAAACACTTACGAAATCTGGCCACAACCATTATTTTAATGCAGTATCTTACCATCTCTCGCGACAAAAACACTGGCCAGACAGTCGGGGACGCTAGTACCAGCAGCCAGTAATGTCAGGCCCATCACCGTATCGGGGATGTCTAGTGCATCGCCTGTGTCAGATAAAAGGAAAATTTTATCAATCTGCTGAGACTTAATTTTTACACTAGCGTGTATAGTCTGTGTTTAATTAACATTAGTATGTACATTTATGGTCAGTGCGTAGAATTGTCTATGGTGTATACAGTTGTGTAAAGTTACCGTAAGTGTGTATGTTTATTTTTGTCTGTAAAGTTATCAGTCATTTCAGAAAATGTGTTAATATTACATTAACAGAAAGCGATTTTGAAAGTACTTGTTAAAAAATAAAATACTTAAAAAAACTTTTTAAAAAACCACGTTTTTCTTGTGGACTAAAAAGTAGAAAATAAATTTTTCTTTTGTGCTTCCTCGAGCTGTGCAGGTTCTTGTGATGACTGACAAAAAACGTGGGTACGTTCACCATCAAATTTCCCGACCCATCTGCCCGACCCACGTTTTTTGTCAGTCATCACAAGAACCTGCACAGCTCGAGGAAGCACAAAAGAAAAAATTATTTTCTACTTTTTAGTTCACAAGAAAAACGTGGTTTTTTAAAAAGTTTTTTTAAAGTATTTTTTTTTCTCCTTTTTAGTCCGTTGCTACACATGAAAAACGTGGTTTTTAAAAAAGCTTTTTATATAGTTTATTTTCTACTTTATCTAATGACTTGACTAAGTATGACTTGACTAAGTGTTTATAAATACACGGACTAAAAATCTTGAGCGACCAGGATTCGAACCTGGGTTGTCGCGGCCACAACGCGAAGTACTAACCACTATACGATCACGGCCAGCGCGCTCACATCGATTGGGGCCGAAGTAACTGTGTCAATAGGCCTCCAGTCTTGTCGGTATCTTTAGAAATCATGTCCTCAATTTTATGGTCCTTGGGGCGTAATTTAATTAAGCTAATTACGGTCTCTAATTGCTAGTTTTTATGATTGCATCTGAAATTGTTAGGCGAAAGTAGCCTGCATGCCAAATTTCAGATCTCTAGAGCAATCAGAAGTGGGCTAATTTTCGATGTCAATTTTAACAACAAACATCCAAACAAACAAACAAACGCGAAACTGAGTTAGGAAAAACGTGTTAATAATAAAAACAAGACATAAAAGTACATTGATAACTTATGTTGTAAATACTGACTAAACACTGGTCAACTAAAACTAAAGTAAAAACACACTAGTAACCAGCTGTTGTGACCATCAGACTACTTACCTGCTATAGTGATCATCATACTATTGACCTAATATAGTGACAATCGCACTACTGACCTGCTATGGTGACCATCCAACTACTGAGTGACCATCACACTACTGACCTAGTGACCATCACACTACTGACCTGCTATAGTGACCATCACACTGCTGACCTAGTGACCATAGCACTAATGACTTGCTATAGTGACCATCACACTACTGACCTAGTGACCATCACACTACTGACCTACTATAGTAACCATCACACTACTGACCTAGTGACCTTCCCACTAATGACCTGCTATAGTAACCATCACACTACTGACCTAGTGACCATCACACTACTGACCTGCTATAGTGACCATCACACTACTGACCTGCTATAGTGACCATCACACTACTGACCTGCTATAGTGACCATCACACTACTGACCTAGTGACCATCACACTACTGACCTAGTGACCATCACACTACTGACCTGCTATAATGACCATCACACTAATGACCTGCTATAGTGACCATCACACTACTGACCTGCTATAGTGACCACCACACTACTGACCTGCTATAGTGACCATCACACTACTGACCTAGTGATCATCACACTACTGACCTAATGACCATCACACTACTGAACTGCTATAGTGACCCTCACACTACTGACCTAGTGACCATCACACTAATGACCTGCTATAGTGACCATAACACTACTGACCTAGTGACCTTCACACTACTGACCTGCTATAGAGACCATCACACTACTGACAGAGTGACCATCACACTACTGACCTGCTATAGAGACAATCACAATACTGACCTAGTGACCATCACACTACTGACCTAGTGACCATCACACTACTGACCTGCTATAGTGACCATCACACTACTGACCTGCTATAATGACCATCACACTAATGACCTGCTATAGTGACCATCACACTACTGACCTGCTATAGTGTCCATCACACTTCTGACCTAGTGACCATCTCACTACTGACCGAGTGACCATAACACTACTGACCTGCTATAGTGACCATCACACTACTGACCTAGTGATCATCACACTACTGACCTAATGACCATCACACTATTGACCTAGTGACCATCACACTACTGACCTAGTGACCATCACACAACTGACCTGCTATAATGACCCTCACACTACTGACCTAGTGACCATCACACTACTGACCTAGTGAACTTCAGACTACTGACCTGCTATAGTGACCATCACACTACTGACCGAGTGACCATCCCACTACTGACCTGCTATAGTGACCATTACACCACTGACCTAGTGACCATCACACTACTGACCTGCTATTGTGATCATCACACTACTGACCTGCTATAGTGACCATTACACTACTGACCTAGTGATCATCACACTACTGACATAGTGACCCTCACACTACTGACCTGTTATAGTGACCATCACACTACTAACCTAGTGACCATAACACTACTGACCTGCTTTAGTGACTATCACACTAATGACCTGCTTTAGTGACTATCACACTAATGACCTGCTATAGTGACCATCACACTAATGACCTGCTATAGTGACCATCACAATAGTGACCTGCTATAGTGACCATCACACTAATGACCTGCTATAGTGACCATCACACTAATGACCTGCTATAGTGACCATCACACTAATGACCTGCTATAGTGACCATCACACTAATGACCTGCTGTAGTGACCATCCCACTACTGAACCGCTATAGTGACCCTCACACTACTGACCTAGTGACCATCACACTAATGACCCGCTATAGTGACCATCACACTACTGACCTAGTGACCATCACACTACTGACCTAGTGACCATCACACTACTGACCTGCTATAGTGACCATCACACTAATGACCTGCTATAGTGACCATCCCACTACTGACCTGCTATAGTGACAATCACACTACAGACATAGTGACCATCACACTACTGAACTGCTATAGTGACCCTCACACTACTGACCTAGTGACCATCACACTAATGACCTGCTATAGTGACCATCACACTACTGACCTAGTGACCTTCACACTACTGACCTGCTATAGTGACCATCACACTACTGACAGAGTGACCATCACACTACTGACCTGCTATAGAGACAATCACAATACTGACCTAGTGACCATCACACTACTTACCTGCTATAGTGACCATCACACTACTGACCTGCTATAGTGACCATCACACTAATGACCTAGTGACCATCCCACTACTGACCTGCTATAGTGACCATCACACTACTGACCTAGTGACCATCACACTAATGACTTACTATAGTGACCATCACACTACTGACCTAGTGGCCATCCAACTACTAACCTGCTATAGTGACCATCCCACTAGTGACCTGCTATAGTGACCATCACACTACTGACCTACTATAGTGACCATCACACTACTGACCTGCTATAGTGACCATCACACTACTGACCTAGTGACCATCACACTACTGACCTGCTATAGTGACCATCCAACTACTGACCTGCTATAGTGACCATCACACTACTGACCGAGTGACCATCATACTAGTGACCATCACACTACTGACCTAGTGACCATCACACTACTGACCTGCTATAGTGACCATCCAACTACTGACCTGCTATAGTGACAATCACACTACTGACCTGCTATAGTGACCATCACACTAAAGACCTGCTATAGTGACCATCACACTACTGACCTAGTGACCATCACACTACTGACCTACTATAGTGACCATCACACTACTGACCTGCTATAGTGACCATCACACTACTGACCTAGTGATCATCACACTACTGACCTGCTATAGTGTTTATCACACTACTGACCTGCTATAATGACAATCACACTACTGACCTGCTATAGTGACCATAGCACTACTGACCTGCTATAGTGACCATCACACTACTGACCTGTTATAGTGACCATCACACTACTAACCTGCTATAGTGACCATCACACTAATGACCTGCTATAGTGACCATCACACTACTGACCTAGTGACCTTCTCACTAATGACCTGCTATAGTGACCATCCCACTAGTGACCTGCTATAGTGACCATCACACTACTGAACTAGTGATCATTCCACTACTGACCTGCTATAGTGACCATCCCACTAATGACCTAGTGACCATCATACTACTGCCCTGCTATAGTGACAATCACACTACTGACCTAGTGACCCTCACAATAATGACCTAGTGACCTTCACACTACTGACCTGCTATAGTGACCATCCAGACCATAAGGTAGGTCAGACCACTGATCCAGGCAACAGACATGAAGAAAGATAAGAGGTAGAGTCGAGACCAAAGCCCGGACCGCCGACTGTCCGGTATGCTCACAAAGAAGACAGCTTTAATGGGGCACAAGATGACCCACAAGATTTTCATCAACACTCCATCAGGGATGGTCCAAACCGATTCAAACTCAGATACAGTCACTGTAACATGGCAGCGTGTAGGAAATGTATGAAACATAGTGAAAAATTTAGATTATATAAATTATACATTTTATACTATTCTATACACACACATAGGAGACGACGTGGTTGGATGGTAGAGCATACAACTACGAATCAGAGAGGCTCGAGTTGAAGTCTCTGGTTCCAGCTCTTACAACGCCCCTGAGTCCACCCAGCTCTCGATGGGTACCTGACTCACATTAGGGATAGCGCAAAGGCGGCTGGGCTTAGTGCTGACCAGACTATCCCCTCATATATCGAAGTCACTACACCAGCCCCATGGACCGTCACGATATATATATATATATATATATATAGTTTGTTTTATATAGCATATTTTCTAGATTTTCCAAAATCACTTTGATACGAATGTAAGATTCTAGCCTTAAATTATTTGCTCTCTCGCTGCAGGGGAGATAATTAAACCGGAAGTTTATTTCATAAAAAAATTGTCACAAAAATGTTGAACAACATCCATTACGCATAGAAATGCGGAGAGAAATTATTAGAAAAACATTGTTTCTATTCCCAATAGTTTTTGAACACCTACGTCACATACTCATTAGTTAACTCTGTCGGAACTTTTTTTAAAATCACCTTATAGAAAGGTTAGATTTAAAATATTTAAAATGTTGAAGAAAAATAGTGTTTACTGTTTATAAAAATTGATAGACTCAGATTCATCTTGCTTCAAAAATAGTTATATCATTTGACCTTCACCCCTTTTACTGTCATCCTTTGCAATTTTTTATAATCAAATACATGACATCATGTAAATATTCATTATGTACATTTGCAAAACCTGTCGTTTTCATTTGGTGTTCAAAATTATGTTAAAAAATTTGATGTTGATGTACTTGTTTTAATTGCAAATAAAAGTATTTAAAAAAAAAAAAAAAAGTATAAAAAAAATAGTTATACAGTAGTTAAACATCAAATTAAGTTGGACATAGTTCCACAAATAGTTCTACAGTTACTGTAGTTAAACAATCAAGTTAGCTGGGACATAATTCTCCAAATAGTTATACAGTAGTCAAACAATCAAGTTAGCCTGGTCATAGTTATAAATTCGTTAAACAATTAATTTAGCCTGGACTTACTGAGTTCCCCATTCTTCGAAGAAGAGGCTGATGGTGTTGTCGGTTCCACGCTGTTCCCTAGAATGGAAGTTTCCTGTTCCGCTGTGGATGATTGTTCCACTGTGGACATGGACTTCTCATAATCATGGACCAGCGTCATTGAGGCGTTACTGATGCGACTGAAAGACACATGTTAAATGATTGGTTTGTAGCGGAATCTCATTAGTGACTCAACATTGTGTCGTCAATTCATTTGATGTCTAATTTGTCTAATACAATTCATCAAGATTAATAATACCATGTAGCTTAGAGATGAAGTTTAATTTAATTTAATCTTAATAGTTTAACGTTGAAATTTCTATTTACCGACTTTACACACAGAGATACTTAAATTATACACCTACATATTTCAGGTTCTGTGATTTTCAGAGATTTTTCATAACAATGATATATATATATATATATATATATATATATATATATATATATATATATATATATATATATATATATATATATATATATGATCGCTACAATTTTGGGTCATAATAGTAATGTGTGTTTTAATGATTGCAGTGCAGGGAAGAAAAAAGAATAGCAAACTAAAAACTAGAAATATTCGTGAATCTAGGAAAATATCGAAAACTAAATACACAGTGCTGGTATATTTAAGAAAAACGCTTTAATCACATGCCGTCTACGCCTTTTACCATTGACTTACATAGCTGTGTTAGACAACAAAAATTTGCACGGGGCTAAATTTTAACAGGATACTAAGTGAAGAGTGCACAGTTTAAAAAATAACATGGTGGTAAATAGCGTTTAAAATAAATAAAAAAAAAATTACATTATGCAACCCTGTACAATGACCATACTCCGGTGAACAAAGGAAAGTTCTAGAGTTTACATAGAGTGACCAGGTACCCAGACACGGGGAAATCAAGCGATCCAAGAAACCATATTACCATCTACCTATGGTCAGTTTCAACACTCCCATAGCCATTGGATAACACGGACATGGCAATAACTTTGTCTTCGATTTCCCTGAAAAATAAACTTCATCCTCAGCCTTCAACAGACACGGTCCGATGATTTCGTTGGTACTTTGACTCAGAGGCGTAACGAACCTTCCCGGCGCCAGGGGACAAACTTTCAATTTGGCGCCCCCCTCGGGAGCAACCTTTCAATTTCCGATTTGCATCCCCCTCAAACTTTCAATTTGCACCCCTCTTCAAACTTTCAATTTGCACACCCACCCATATATTTTTATATTTATAATGCAAAACTGCAGCTAAAATGAGATTTTAATTTTTTTTCCAACCCATTTTGGCGCCCCCTAACGTCGGCGCCCGGGGACATATGTACTCCCCCCGCCCCCCCCCCCCTCGCTACGCCTCTGCTGTGACTATCATACTACAAGTCCATGTGTACTAAAATACCCACACAATTTAGTTTTTATATGTAAGGGGGACACCAATCTATAAAAAATAATTACATTTTCATAAAACACCGATAAGCGGACAAAAGCAATCAGTTATTGTTTTAAAAAAATAGAGATTTGTTTATAGATAGTTGTTATTTACTTAATTTTATATAAAGAACCACACTTATATGGCTACATATCTTACATTTTAAGTATATTTTATAAGACCCAATTTTTTTTTGTATTGATTTTATCTTTATGAGAGTTTAATGATTTTGCCACGAGAAAATTTGGGAATTAAAAATAAAGAGACAATTTGCAAATTAGATGAATAAAGAAGAAAATTATGATTAAAATAATTTTTCCGTTCTTTTTACCTGTGATTATTTAAATAGTTTTCTTGCAGTTCTATTTTTACGTGAGGTTATTTAAAATTTCCTTTAATCCTATTTTTACTTAAGATTATTTGAAACATTTTCCCGTAGTCCTATTTTTACTTGTGATTATTTAAAAAGTTTTCCCATTGTTCTATTTTTACCTATGATTATTTAAAAAAGTTTTCCCGTAGTTCTATTTTTAATTGAGATTATTTAAATAGTTTTCCCGTAGTTCTATTTTTACTTGTGATTATTAAAAAAGTTTTCCCGTAGTTCTATTTTTACTTGTGATTATTAAAACAGTTTTCCCATTGATCTATTTTTACCTATGATTATTTAAAAAGTTTTCCCTTAGCTCTATTTTTACTTATGATTATTCAAATAGTTTTCCTATTGTTCTATTTTTACCTGTGAGCTCTGGCACGCTGCATGTTCTCTGGAATCATGTGCTCCTCCGCGGATTTGTTCATCAACGGCTGACGCTCAAACCTGAGTAGCATCTTGGTGGCCCAGGCCCTGGCCCTCTTCTCCAGGGTCCGGTTAAAGTACATGATGACAATGTACAACATGTAGAGCACGATCATCATTAGCGCCTCGTACCTGCAAGTGTCATCCTTTTAGGTTAGTGTCATCATGTGTGTACCAGCTAGTGGCATACTGTTGGGTTAGTGTCATCATGTGTGTTCCAGATAGTGTCATACTGTTGGGTTAGTGGCATACTCTTGGGTTAGTGTCATACTATTGGGTTAGTGGCATACTCTTGGGTTAGTGTCATACTATTGGGTTAGTGGCATACTATTGGATTAGTGTACATTTATTAGTGTCATTTGTGAACCATGAGTGTACCTGCAAGTGTCATCCTTTTAGGCCATTTGTAAATAATGTGTGTACCAGCTAGTGTCATACTGTTGGGTTAGTGTCATACTATTGGGTTAGTGTCATAATATTGGGTTAGTGTCATAATATTGGGTTAGTGTCATTTGTGAACAATGTGTGTACCGGCTAGTGTCATACTATTGGGTTAGTGTCATTTGTGAACAATGTGTGTACCAGCTAGTGTCATAATATTGGGTTAGTGTACATTTATTAGTACCGTATGTAAATAATTTTCGTACTTGCAAGTATTGAACTGCGTCATTTGTGAACAGTGTTATGTCATAAGAACGTAATTTGTTAAAAAAAACACAACATTATAGAAACAAAGAGTTATTCACAATAACATGTATTTTATTTGCTAATGGTTGGGTTGTTGGGTTTAACTTACGGCCCACACAAAATGGTGTCTTTTAACCTGAATTCTATTGGATCGCGATTTTCCCATTTTTATTAATAACTTTGATATCTTGTTTTTTCTTCTCCCCAAATTCACGTCTTTAAAATACACAAGTTAAATAAAATTATAAAATAATATAAAAACAAAACAAACTGTAAACTCTGAACTGGATCTAACGGACTGTGCTGAAATGTTATAATAAATGGTTTAAAACCTACTGGCAATATTATTTAATGTTTTATGGAGAATTTGACGGAGAAAAGATTTGCCTCCAGCTCTATCTATACGTCAGGTCAGTGATGCATAGATTTGTTGATAACAGTACTGTACTTCTGTATCTCACCAATAGATGTGAGGTCGAAGAAGCTGAACTTTGTAATTAATTTGTTTTTTATTTTTATTTTAACATCTGATGAAGTTTATTGAATTTTACTGCACTTGAAGTTAAGTTTATATTTAGTTATGTACATAGGGGCTTTAAATTTGTTAATATTTTTTAAAGACAAAAAGTTTCGTCCATCCAATTGAATTATTGACATTGTCTAACCATTCAGCTACATACACAACTGTACAAATGATAACTGATCATTTTATGACCTAGATAACTGTAAACACAGATAACTGACCAATCAACGACCTAGATAACTGTAAACAAAAATAAGTGACCAATCAATGACCTAGATAACTGTAAACAAAAATAACTGACCAATCAACGACAAACACAGCCGCAAACAAAAATAACTGACCAATCAACGACCTGATCACGAATGACGAGGAAGAGCGTGAGTACTGAGAGTAGATAAAACACGGTGTCACGCACCAGAGGGTACCACGTCAGTTCAACGACCTGCAGACAGATAAAACAATCCGTTAGAGCTACGTCAGAGGGTACCACGTCAGTTCAACGACCTGCAGACAGATAAAATAATCCGTTAGAGCTACGTCAGAGGGTACCACGTCAGTTCAACGACCTGTGGACAGATAAAACAATCCGTTAGAGCAGGGGTCGGCAACCTTTTGAAGCTGAAGAGCCAAAAGTTACAATTTTCAAAATTTCCCTGGTTTTAAAGAGCCACAAACAATTTTTTATTTCAAATATTTTATTTTTTTATTAAGATTATTAGTATTTGTTCAAGGAGCTGGAGAGCCGCATCTTGATATCAAAAGAGCCGCATGCGGCTCGCGAGCCGCAGGTTGCCGACCCCTGCGTTAGAGCTACGTGCCATACACTTTTTAATAATGCAGTTATAATGTAAACAACTGACTACATTGATTCCTTTGTGGGGCGTCACTATAACTTTTCAGGGAGAATTTGAAAAAAAATCTGTTTTTCAAATAATCTAGCTAAATGTGAAGATTATGGAATAGTTAAAAAAGATTATGCTAATCCTAGTAAATTTTCAAGCAATCTACAAACATGATTAAATGATAAGTTATACAGCTGGTCACTCTTCTTTTGCCGAGGTTATAGCTATAAAAGGGCTCAAATTCGTTTGCCCCTTCCGGTTTGAAAGGATAATTTAGTCATGTTGCCTAGAAACCGCTTTTACAGAACAGAGAAATATTCCATTTATCACAAGCTCGCTAGTTTAGCAATAGTAAGATTCTATCTTGTAGTCAAATCTATTTCAAAATATGGACTACAAATATAAATCATATTGAATTGGGTATGACGATGTCTTTTCTCAATCAAATATTTTCCTTAGTTGTAACCCCAATCCTAAAAATAAACTTAAAACTCCTGTTACTTGTGTCTTTGCTTGGGGCATTTTAGAACGTACATAACGATTGTCAATAAAATTATAAGGACTTTAAAAAGAAACTTAAGTAATATTAGGCACCAGTGTTTCTTCCAGACTTTTTTCTCCGGGGGAGCACTTTAAATTTTCGGGGGGGGGGGGGGGCGGTAGACTTTCTTCGGGGGGGGGGGGGGGGGGAAGGGGCGGACACTGTTAAAAGTATATATTTTCTATATAAATTATATAAATTTCATTTCGTTCGGGGGGGGGGGGGCGGTAAAATTTTTTCGGGGGGGGGGGGGGGATGCCTGGAAGAAACTCTGTTAGCCACACAATGTATGATTGTAGTCTCGCCCTAAGGTTAGAGACTGCGAGAAACAGACAACGGAACTAGATGTGAAACAGTCTAATTTGTCGTGCAGAGAGATACAGGATTTGTAATGGTGTGCATGTACAACACACAAGACAGGCAGATAATTATAAAAAGTATTTAAAAAAACATTGTCAGTGAAACCTGATCTCAGGCCTGTCAGTGCCTGTATGTATAACACGATGGCAGGCATTGTTGTGGTTACCATCGCAACAGAGGGAGGCGTCAGACTTACCATGCCGGCAAAAACACCACAGACGCCGATGATGAAGAGAATGTTAAAGACGGCTGATCCAACAATTGTCCCAACTCCCACGTCACTTTGAGCAAAAAATACACCTAGGACACAGAAAGTGAGAGTTCACTAACACATAGTGTTAATTAGTTTAAGTTATGATATACAAAATGTGATAGCAAACATGGGGACTGATTTTCATAAAGACAATATATCCTAGATTCAACATAGGCCACATGAACTCAACGTAGGCAGCGTCCTAGGTTCAACATAGGCCGCATAGACCCAATGTAGGCCATGTCCTAGGTTCAACATAGGCCATATAGACCCAATGTAGGCCATGTCCTAGGTTCAACATAGGCCATATAGACCCAATGTAGGCCATGTCCTAGGTTCAACATAGGCCATATAGACCCAATGTAGGCCATGTCCTAGGTTCAACATAGGCCATATAGACCCAATGTAGGCCATGTCCTAGGTTCAACATAGGCCATATAGACCCAATGTAGGCCATGTCCTAGGTTCAACATAGGCCACATAGACCCAACGTAGGCCATGTCCTAGGTTCAACATAGGCCATATAGACCCAACGTAGGCCATGTCCTAGGTTCAACATAGGCCATATAGACCCAACGTAGGCCATGTCCTAGGTTCAACATAGGCCATATAGACCCAACGTAGGCCATGTCCTAGGTTCAACATAGGCCACATAGACCCAACGTAGGCCATGTCCTAGGTTCAACATAGGCCACATAGACCCAACGTAGGCCATGTCTTAGGTTCAGGCAGAGCGTGTTTATAAGATGAATCTCACATCTTAACTTATCTTAAAAGATATTCACATATATGTGTATCGCAATTGCTACATATGAATGCTTGTAGGACGAATCTTCACATCTTCATATACGTAGGACAAATCTTCACATTTTCTCCTCTTGATATGCTTAGGACAATTTTTACTTCTTGATATGCGTAGGACAAGTCTTCAAATCCCAATGCACGTAGGACAAATTTTTACACAAGACACAAAAGTGCAAGCATTTCTTATCTAGAGGAGACATCCCTAGTTTTGTAGATCTATGCAAATCACGTAGTTGTATGGCTATAAAACAAGCCTTAAAGATGAGACAAATGAAACGCCGATCGATAGCAAGGTCATTACAAGGTCGTTTTGACACGTGACATGTGTCCGTTTCCTGGGTAAACACAGCATTTAAGCCTTGTTAGCTCCAAGAGATATGTACACGGCTGTGTGGGCAGTCTGTGTGGCTTGGGGCTTTATTGTTGGTTTGTGTGTAATGACTGGTGTTAATTGGTTTATTTATTTAAATATTCATATATATATATATATATATATATATATATATATATATATATATATATATATATATATATATATATATATAGTATATATGTATTACTATTTTCCACCCTGCATTCTAAAATAATGTATTCATTTATGAGTTCAACATATTGATCAGAAAGACTATATCAGCAAACACACCAGACCTAGCAATGCCAGACTAGTTTAGTGTAAAACGAAACACCATTCTAGGATCATCAATCAATATTTAAACCTCTGTTGCAACATTCGACAGCCTTCTATGCAAGATTGATGTAAGAATTACAATTTTCCACAATCTAACTTGTCAGGTCTAAACTCTAAGCTATTGACTGACAATAATGTCATGGATATTAGAATGTCCTTAAAACATCCCATAATTCTAACATTGATGGACTGTTGGTAAAAATAAACATCCCATAATTCTAACATTGATGGACTGTTGGTAAAAAAAAAAAAACATCCCATAATTCTAACATTGATGGACTGTTGGGTTAAAAAAAACATCCCATAATTCTAACATTGATGGACTGTTGGTAAAAAAAAAACATCCCATAATTCTAACATTGATGTGACAGCAGAGTTGATGTTTTTTTAATAAAATTAGGAAGGGCTTGACCCACATTCTGGAATAAAAAAAAGGCTGTTGACACAGATTTCATACAATTGACCAATTCGGACTTTGGTCCTGTTGTTATATACTGACCCTGATAACAAGACACATCGGTCCTAAAGTTTGATGTATGTGTGTGTGGGGGGGGGGGGGGGGTGGCGGTTTGTGTATGAGGTGGAGGGGGTGGGGGCTACGTTTTAAGAGTAAGATTAAAAAGCCTTATTTATTTATATTGACATTAAGTCGTTATTTCCGTTTTTAAATTAAATCTTAATAAAGCATAGTTTTCCAAATTACGTATTGTGAGTTGTTTTTATTTAACAAAATCAATGAAAGTAACAATTAATTTATTTTCGAGCAACTCTCTAATTTTTTCTAATATAATAATGTACGAGAAATGTATCAACTGTTAACTTTTATATTTTTAAAAGAAATATCTCCGACTCTTTTGTCTGTAAGTTCCTGTTTACGGTATGCGATCATGGGACATTTAATCACGTTATCACCACTGAAACTTTAATCACATGTTAACAAAGATCAGGTTTACCAATCGCGTTATCTTTATTGTGCTATGGCTTTTGTCAGCTTATCTCGCTAAGGATATTGTTTTTTTTCTCTCTGTTTGTGCTTGCTAGGGAGAAAGTTTGTGTCTGTCTTCACAATTCAACTCAATGAAATCTGTTTGAACATACATTTTGTGGATCTAACCCGTGTAATTTGTTCGTGATTTTAAAACTTTAATGGGACGGAGGACGGGAGTGGGGAGGGAGTGAACAGTCAGTTCGATTGGGGACGAGATTTTGAGTGGTCTTGTAAACAAACATATGGGTTTAGAATTAGAAGGTATATGTCTAAAATCTTCACATCTGACTCACACGGTTTGTCTATAAAACATTTTATACCACTTTCTATCTCGACTTCCTACAATATCACCTTTACCTTATGGTGATAGTTTTTGTAATTAAGAATAATAATATTGCTTTGTTTTACGCTTATCAACCCACAAGAATATTGAGATGTAGGGCCTACTGTTGTCAGCTTTCTTCCAAATTTATATAAACAATTTTAAAAGAAATGTGAACTCCAATTTATATTTTGGGTTTGCATAAGGGATTTCCAAATCAAAACGCATTAGCCAAATATTTCAGAAAATAAATACACCAACACGCTTACCAACGACTGACGTCATAAATTCAGGAGCGGAACTTCCTGCCGCCATAAATGTGGCGCCAGCGACATCCGCCTGCAAGCCGAGATCTGGAAGATGAAGAATGAAGCATCGTTAGAGACACCTGAAATCGCGAGTCAAAAGGGGGAACTTCAAGAATGTAAATATTTGTTTGTCTGCCATGGTTTTCTCTCCGCTCTGTGAATACAGAGCCGGGTAAATATTTGTGCACTGGCAAGCGTCGCCATGTTTACTAGCCCAGCGCCGGATAAAACTCAAATAGTGCTAGCATTACCACTACGTTATGAAATGTTAATTCGAGCTATTAATAGCTCAGTCAGAGCCACTTCCGCTTTGTGATTTTGTTTAAAACTCTGTTTGATGAGCTATTTTAAGATACTTTATTGAAATTGAATGACGTTTAAGGGAATTATTCTTAATTCCCCATCACATTAAGGCATGTTTGAGTTCAATTATCCAGGATTTAATGGGTGGTGGCATTAAATGCTAATCATTAACTCGCGTGTTTAACCACGGGGCAATGATTATAAAAACACGAGAGCCTCGATATGGCCTGACCTTCACATATATGTTCCAAGGAGGGCACGAAGTAGTCGTCGCAGACGACAGCCAGGGCGGCGAACATGTAGAGGGCGATGACGATGTGGACAACCACCCCGCCCTTTCTCGTGTCTTCCAGGCTGAAGAAATTGGGCGGGAAATTGTCCACGGAGCGAGGTGTGCAGTTCCTTGTGTTGTTGCCATCTGGAGAGGAGAAATCAAAGTATTAAAAATATTTTAAAGACACCTAACATCTTTTGTTAATTATATAAAACTTCGGACAGATACAGATTTACAAAAATATATCATTTTTTAAGTTATTCAAAACATTAAAAGCAATCTTTTTCTCAGAAAAAAAAAAGATTAAATCTATTTTTAAAAAATGCTGTCGTTTAAAGACACCTAACACCTTTATAAATTATATAAAACTTAAGACAGATACAAATTTACAAACAATGTATCATTTATTAAAGTTATTCAAAACAATAAAAGCATTCTTTTTCTCAGAAAAAAAAAAGATTAAATCTATTTAAAAAAAAATAAATTGACCTCATTTGATTCCGTTTTTAAACACTTGAAATAAAAATCTTGCAATTATTCAACAAATCTCTAGATGAATACACCATATTGGTATTTTTATAAACGTTCTTATAATCGTTGTTTTTATATCTAAGAGCTTCTGATCCAAACAATAAACAAAACGAGATTTGAGCAACGAGAAAGATCGTGATATCGTTCAGGTGGTTTTGTTATTGCAAGAGAATTGTTTGTACAAGAAGTAGATTGTGTACTAACTGGGATATTATTTTAAAACACCGGGTTGTGTTGCATCATTGAAGTTGTAATATTACAGCTTGTTCAAAGTTTCTACATATAAATCATGTATGGTTAACTCTTGTATTTCAGAGGAATAAGAAAAGTCTACGACAAAAATGAAAGGAGAATTTTTTTAATGGTACTGGAAGACAAAATGTTGACTCAGATATTACGTCACATCCGCGGCCACTGGTCACATGATCTGACTTGTATGAACTGCTCTAACGTTGTATCTGCCTCAATCATTCACCTGTATGCTCTCCTTTCTTCAATCGTTCACCAGTATAGGCTCCCTTCTTCATTCATTCACCTGTATGCTCTGTATCTCCTTCATTCATTCACCTGTATTCTCTGTCTCCTTCAATCAATCATCTGTATGATTCATCTCTCCCTTAATCATTCATCGTTATCATCACACTCTCCCTTGATCATTCATGTGTATCCTCTCTACCTTAATTAATCGTATGTATCCTCTCTCTCTCTCTCTCTCTCTTATAAGCCTTACTTATTCATGTTTGTCCTATCTCTCTTAATTATTCCACTGTCTCCTGTCTTCCTTAATAATTAATTTGTACCCCATCTCTTCCTCAACCATTCATCGGTGTCTTTTCACTCTCTCAATCATTCATCTGTATCATCTCTCTCAAATCATTCATCTCTATCATCTCTCTCAAATCATTCATCTCTATCATCTCTCTCAAATCATTCATCTCTCTCAAATCATTCATCTCTATCATCTCTCTCAAATCATTCATCTCTCTCAAATCATTCATCTCTATCATGTCTCTCAAATCATTCATCTCTCTCAAATCATTCATCTCTCTCAAATCATTCATCTCTATCATGTCTCTCAAATCATTCATCTCTCTCAAATCATTCATCTCTATCATGTCTCTCAAATAATTCATCTCTCTCAAATCATTCATCTCTCTCATGTCTCTCAAATCATTCATCCATATCATGTCCCCCTCCTTCGATGCTACACCTATCATTTCTATGACCATAAAAGAATTAAGTAATTTTAAACTTTCACCTTCCACCCGTCAATACTTTAGAACTCTGTTCAACTTGCGATGGCTTTCATCCAGTGATCTCCCCTCCACACACAGTCTGTAAGATCTACCACACACACAGTCTGTAAGATCTACGACCCAAACGTTCAATGATCAGTTTTTTTTTGCTCTCTGCACAACATTAGAGTTTCATCAAAGGTCGGCAACCTTTTAACACTGAAGAGACATTTTTACAGGTCTTAACTTATTTAGAGAGCGTCTGTTGAAAAAGGTTTGGGAGAGTTAGCGTGCCCCCAACACCTTAAGATGCTGCGTTATAGAATTAAATAGAAAAAAGACCGCCCGTGGCAGATTCTCTCTGTGCCAGAGTCTACTGGGCGAGATGTGCACCTGAAACGCGAACGGTAATCACGTGATATCATCTCTTAATTAGAGAGGGTTGACGTCTTGGTGTGGCTTTAAAGGTTGGACAGTAGGCAGTTTTTGACAAGATTTTTTAGTTTTGGCCCATGACGTGACTTTCAATAAAGACTTTGCATGAAGATTTTCTGAACATGACTTTTTAATTTAAATAATAAACTGTTTTTTTACTTGACTTTTCAAGAATTGACTTTGAACTATTTCTTTTGACGTAAAGCTCTAATATTGGACTAAGAACAGTTATTGTGTTGTTATGTTGTTATTACCATTGATACATATTTAATGATCGGGAAACGAATAGGTCTAATTTGGTCTGTAATTAGTCATCCTTTAACAAAATTCCGTAAGAGAGCTCAAAAAGATAGTTTGTGTTGTTGGGGCCCTCATCTCCCCAAATCTCAACTCACGTGCTACAAAAATAAATAAATATTAAAACCTGTTGTTGATGAAGTCGAAGTGTGTCCCCGGCACCTGGAATAAACTGGACAGCGGTCAAGTTAAACTCTTGTGTTAGCAATTGAAGCCAGACTTGTTCCAGCTGACCAACCAATTAGTGTTCCAGACAGCATTGATTTTTTCACTGGCACCACGCAAGGTGCCTTACAGCATCGTGTCATCTAAGTGAAAGGTAATAGCTCTCTACTGCTAGATCTAGCTAGGAAGTCTTAGCATGTTTCATCTAAGTGAGAAGTAATAGCTCTCTATTGCTAGCTAGTATTTCCAAGCATATATTACTTAGGTACTTTCTCTCTACTGCTAGCTAAGAAGTCTTAGCATGTGTTATCTAAGTGAGAGGTAATAGCTCTCTACTGCTATCTAAGGAGTCATGACTAATAAACAATTGAATTAAAAATAAATAAACTTATAATCGAAGTGGAATGTATCTGGAAAATTTGAACGAAATCGCTGCATTAGAAGTGGGTCCAAATTGAGTTACAAGATTTGCCACAAACCCACAAACAAACAAACAGTAGCTACAAACTAATTAAAAGCTTGTAAAAATATATAAGAGTGATGGCCATAGAAAATTTAAACTTAAACCAGAATACGTCCCCTCGCAGGGAATTTTAGGCTTCTCTTTCCCGGTAGTTTCACTTGCCCCCTGCCCGGAGAAAAATGTCAACAAGAACTGACGTTGAGGTCTCTGGTATATTTTTTAAAAAAAACCTCCGTTTTTACTGTGCTTGTATAAGTCTGTTTGGACGTATGGATATTTTGTAAGGGATGAATCTGTTCCCATTTGATTTACAGTACTATCACATTCAGAGTATTGTACACAGCATTTTAAAAACTGACAAGAAAAAAAAAGGTTTCTGAATTTATAAACTTTCCTAGAGATTATCTATCATTTGATTTTTTTTTCATGACATCTTTTGAATTCCCTGATCGAGTTTCACGAGATTCCACAGTGTCATTTTTCTTTCTCCTCTTTCGAAGACAATAGTTTATGTAAAATAGGGACGGATAAAAAAATCTAACTTAAATAATTGAGTTTACTAAATGAGTTTACTATATGAGTCTACTATATGAGTTTACTATATGATTTATATACGATGTTCTCGTTTGGACTGCAATTGATGTATCAATTTAAAAGTACACGTGTGATAGCCTCTCTTGCTAATTTAAAATATATAGTAGCATTCTTGCTTATTTCAATTCACATATATTTGAACAAGCTGTTTCTAGCAATGTGTGTTATTTGCGCTGAGTTGTGTTTTATCTCTGCCTCTCTTCATAATTCCATATGTTGAATTGCTACTCCATCGTCTCACCACCTGACAGGGAGGAGGTGATCGAAATGGTGATGTGAACCTCAGCAGACGGTCAGTGGGAAAATTGATGGGTCGCCACTGCTGACCGTGGTGGTAGGTCCGGGCTGGGTAATGGGAGACGAACGAGGAGCTTTATGGGAAGTTACTCTCCAAATCAATTTCGTGAGAGTTCTGTTTTCTGAAAAATCAATGGGAAGTCGAACTCTACAAAACAATTTCGTGAGAGTTCGGTCTGAAAAATCTATGGGAAGTCGAACTCTCCAAGTCAATTTCGTGAGAGTTCTGTTTTCTGAAAAATCTATGGGAAGTCGAACTCTACAAAACAATTTCGTGAGAGTTCGGTCTGAAAAATCTATGGGAAGTCGAACTCTCCAAGTCAATTTCGTGAGAGTTCTGTTTTCTGAAAAATCTATCTGGCTTTCAGGATAAACAGCCAGTGATTTTTTTAGGATCAGAATATGGGTGTGTGGGGGAGGGGACAAAATTGTTGACGGCAAAAACAAACTGCTTATAATACAGACCTTACGAACAAAAGAAGCTTAAAGAAAACATGCTTATATGTAAGCCTTATGAATAAAACAAGCTTTTTAATGTTAGGCACTATGAAAAACTAAATATTTTTTTGGACGAAAATTGGGTTTTATTGACTTAGAATCAAAAATACATAAAACGAATTTTCGCAAGAGAACAGGACAAAATAAACTAAGGGAATTAACTTGACTGAAGTTGAATCACTTCTGACATGGGAGACTATAACTAGATGACTGAGGGTCATAAACCAAGAGCACTACAAACGGATGTTCACATAATTTCCCATTCACATCGAATGTCCGGTATTTTATAAGACGCTACGTCATTGAACTCAAGTACACTCCCCCCACCCCCACCCCGCTTCCTCCTCACGAGATGGTTTTTGTTTAATCTTGTCATACACGGCCCTTCAACCCGCGGCCCGGGAAATCTGAGCCGCTGAGCCATCAGGTTTTTATATCGGCTCCTGATGTGTACAGACTCCACGATACCCATCCCTCAACTAGGCTCTTGTGCTATCAGGACTGGTCAGTTTGTGTGTGCACGAGAGTGATGGCCAGTGAGTCATAGCTACGTGTGGGAGGGTGAGGTCATGGTCAGGGACAGAAGGTGAGTACACGCACAATAGGGGCGGGGTGGGGGTAAGTATTGA